TGCGAGTATCCAGGACACACCTCGCTCAACGTGCTCGTCGACCCCCACCTACGTTGACGGCAGCAGCGCTCAGCGGAGCTTCACGGCGGCTCCCAACGTAGAGTCTGCCTCCCATGGCACGACATACGACCGTTCACGGTCTCCAACACCGTCAACGCTGATGTCTCCGGCGCCCCCGGCGATGACTCGGCGCCTCCGGCGCCTCTGATGACACGGCGCTCCCGGCGCCTCTGATGACGCGGCGCCTCTGATGACACGGCGCCTCCGGCGCCTCTGATGACGCGGCGCCTCTGATGACGCGGCGCCTCTGATGACACGGCGCCTCTGATGACGCGGCGCTCTCGGCGCCTCAGGCGCTTCCGGCACTCCCGGCGCCTCTGATGACACGGCGCCTCCGATGTCTCGGCGCTCCCGGCGCTCCCGGCGCTGCTGATGTCTCGGCGCTCAACAAGCTTCATGACTTGTTCATGACAAGCTGATGACTCGGCGCCACCGGCGCCTCTGATGACTTGGCGCCGCTTATGTCTCGGCGCCTCCGGCGCCTCTGATGTCTCTGCGCTCCGGCGCCTCCACATCCTCTGATGTCTTCGGCGCTCAACAAGCTTCAGATCAACAAGCTTTATCAAGCTCAGATCAACGAGCCGACCATCCGATCTTCTACTGCGGCTTAAGGGGCACCATCGACAATCGCCTCCCCGGCGCCACTGCCCTCTTCTCTTGCTGCCGTCTCATAACTCGTCACACGGAGAAGCATGGTGAAACAACTGTCGCCGCTCCTTTCGCTACTCTCCCGTCGGTCTTCGGGATCGTGACTATCGTTCTACTTCCTGGGTGGAATCATTTCAACCAATAGACAGTTGGTCTGATTCAACTTGCCCACTGAGACGTTATCCATAATCCCGTCGTTTAAAGCGCTATGATTCCGGAGAGATGACCTGCGGGTTTCCATCGAAACAGAGCGTCATGTGAACAGCGTCTGTATCAGATTCGACGACGACATCCACTTACAAAGAGTTTACTTCGTCGACATCGCAGACATCAACGCTGTTCTACCCTACCCTAGCGCCAGCGTTCCTGTGAGAGACTCTTCCTCGGCGCTCCCCGGGTTTTCCACGACGCCCATGGGGTTCCGTGTTTTATCGCAAAACTCGGGTACACCACTTGATCGTCTCTCACACAGTTCATTGAGGATTGTCTGTGTGTGGAGTTTGCACCTCAGTTCCGACTCCAAGGCGGTTTTCTCGGCTACTGCGCAGAGTGATTTACATGTCACGTGTCAAGTACTCGGACTGTCAACAACTCCGACCGGATTTAGGTCAACTTACCATGGCAAGGGGTGCCATGTATTTCTACAGATTGGTTTCCATGTCTACCTGTACGCTTGGTGATACCACTCAACCAGGCGCCTGTCGCAGTCCATCCATGCACGGATGTTGGAAACAATAGACCTCCTCTACTAACACGGCTGTCACGAGGAACCTTGTTTCATCAACCCTTCGCTATAAGAACGATAGCGCCTATAGGCGTTCAAGGGATGGAAAAGATCGCCTTCCTTCGTCCGGTTTGATCTTTTCGACTACGACACCTTCCTATCTTCCGCCTTGACTACCGGACACAGTGTCGATTTGATACTTAAAGTCCCTCGGCCGTCCCACTGACCCCTGTTGCATACCTGCCTCGTATCGTGTTGTCGTCCTCCATCGTCACCTCGATATAAGAACAGGAGTACTTATACGCCGCTTCAGGGATGAAAACGTTCTCATTACTTCGTGCAATGGCCATATTGCCTCGACTTCCTACTACCCGGTTACGTCGATGCCCCGGCGGTCGATTGTGAAGCTGGTTTCCTTCGTCTACTTGAGGTTGGCTCGCAGGCGATCACACCTTTTTCCGAATCGTACCGACGGTACGCAATCGCAGACCCCTGTTGCTGACTACCTCCCCTGCCACCTTGTCAGTGGCTAGTGGCCCACGCCAGCCCACATTGTGACCACCTGTGATCCAGAGATCAACACCATTGGCACAGCAACAGCCTCGAGATAAATGCTTATCCAGGACGGCACTTGCTGACAGTGCATTCTCGGTCACGCCCTGTTGATCGTGTCCACTGACGACGTCACCGTAGTGTGGTGTTTGCGGACCCAGAGTTCTCGCCCCTCTCCCGGTGCCACAAACTCGACCGGCGCCCCCGAGAATCACCATCTTCGGCGTTCCAGGCGCCTCAAGCTCTCCGACGCCTCACGCTCTCCGGCGCCTCGGGCCAGACTATGTGAAACGGTCGACACCCCAACCCTAGATCTGTTTGCCTCATATCTGAATGTGGCCAGCTGTCGTCTTCCATTCCACCTGTGCCGGATACGACCGCTGTGGCAGTCGAAGCCTTCCATCGTTCCTGAGAAGGATTACGCGCGTACGCTTTTCCGACTCCGGTTCTCCCTCCCACGGTTCTTCAGAGATCCAGGCCACTCGACCCCTGCCATTGACTTTGGTCTCGCCTTATTGGTCAGCCAGAAGTTGGGTTATCGACCTCCGAAACATAGCCAGAGACAACCCCTGGAACTTCCGGTGTGGTCCAACCTTCTGCTCCATCCACACGGTCTGTTGGAATGAGAAGCCACACCCTCATACCCGCATGTTATCGTCTGCACGCCTGACACACATGCAGAAAGCCAAGGGCTATTCGGCTAGAGCGACCAAGGCTATTGCTTCAGCCCACCGTCCATCTACAGGGGGACTGTATGCTGATAAATGATGCTTGTTCCAGGCATTTTGTTCTGACAAACACCAGGATCCGATGACAGCGTCACCGCAGATCCTGGATCAGTTCCTTCTGTACTTGTGTAGCACCCATCGGTTGAAGGGCTTACCACCCCCACATACCTGGTCGCCATCTACTCCGTTCTGGCCATCCCGGACGATCGGAGAAAGACGAAAATTCCCGACCTACGGGCCTGGCTGCGCTCGTTCAGTCTTGAAGACCTGAAGACCAAGTTCGGACCGCCTGCGTTGGATCTGAATGTGGTCTTCAACGCCCTTCGAACCACTCCCCTCGTCTTCCTTCTACGACCTTAAGTAGAAGACGGGTGTTTCTACTGGTTTTGACTACTGCCGCTCGAGTCCATGTACAGCACGCCCTCGACGTCTCCCATGCCCGGTTCGAATGCGGTACCCAGGGCGCCGTTCATCATGGACCGTACTGGGACGTCAGCGTAAAGACTCAACTCCCAGGACAGCCTGATAGATCATTCCTTGTCCCCTCCGCTCTCGTCCAGTGTGGGTGCCGAGGATGAGGATGAGCGTCATTATGCCCAGTAAGGGCACTGAAGGTTATTCTACGATCTAAAGACTGCCGCAAGTCTAGGAAACACCTTTTTCTGCCGGTCTCCCCTTCGTCGCTGTCGTTGGTCAGCCGGAATACTTTTCCCTGTGGCTCCGGGCGGTCATCCTTAAAGCGTATGAGCCGCCGGATTGGACCCTCCCCCCAAAGGCTATTACCTGAAATAAAATGAGATCAGGGCGATCGTATTTACACTGGTTCTTCACGGTATACTGTTCCATCCCGTCGTTCAGGGAAGCCTGTTCGTGGCGATCGGACACCGCCTTCACCAACCACTACTTCCGTGATGTAGCCTTGAAAGTTGTCGCCGGCGTTCACAGTTTTGGTCCCTGGTTGTAGCCCAACAGGTCATCTATCTCCGACGCCACTGATTCTCCGATACCCTGAGCGGGGCCCGTCGACCTCTCTGGTGTTTATCACCCCAGACGAGACGGCTCTCTTGCGTTCCGCATTCGCTCTTAGGTCAGTTTTAGTTTTGGGTTACCCGACTCATTCTATTGCTGTCACCTATCCGGGTTTTACTTTTTACATCAACTCTCGTTTCCTGACGACAGGAATGGTAGTAGATGTGGACACCGGCGCCGACGCCAACGCCGCTGCTTCTCTGGTACCTGAGCGGTGCCCGTCGACCTCACCGGTGTTCCTTGCCTCCAGCCTAGAGGGCTCTCCTGCGTTTCGCATTCGCTCTTGGGATTGGTCGTAGATTTTGCCGCCGACGCCGCTGATTCTTCGATTCCCCGAGCGGGGCCCGTCGAACTCTCTGGTGTTTATCACCTCAGATTAGCTCTAGGTTCTACTGCGTTTCGCTTTCGCTCTTCGGTAAGTTATATATTTTGGCTACACGCCTCATTGTATTTCGGTTACCTATTCGGGCGTTTCGTTTTTGCATCGACTCTTGTTTCCCGAAGACAGGAATGGTCGTAGATGTTCCGGTCATCACTTGTATGCGGTGCGGATTCATCGGACCTTGACGAGGGTTTAATATGGTTCACATCTGCAAGTATGCCCACCGGCCAAGCCGTCTGATAAAGATGCAATACGGAGTAATGCAGGATAAGTTAAAAAATTTAGTAAAATCTAAATATTTTTTACATTTGTATACTTATCCTGCATTACGAAGTCTAAGTTCCCTCCCTTTCGCTACGCTACCTCCCCACGAAGTTTCAGATGTTATGTTTAAAGCAGTTATGTCTTTTGGTGTGACGTCATGACTTCCGGGTCACGTGCCGACTGTGAGAGGGCGCTGCCTCCTGGGCTGGTTGGGACAACTTTCTTCAGCAGCTGGATCTCACACAGTTCGTCTCTCTGTCAAACATAGCAGTAAATGCAATACGGAGTAATGCAGGATAAGTATACAAATGTAAAAAATATTTAGATTTTACTAATTCTTTTATTTTTCTAAGCCTTAGATATGTTGACTACATATGGATTAAAACTTGTGTCAAGCATGATTTCCATATGGCAAGAAAATTATCAAAACTTGGAAATAATTCTCAATGTCAACTTGAGATTTGACTGATAACATTTTAATTACTATCAGATAAATCTCAACCTCCCAAAAGAGGGTTTGTCAGATCAGTGATGTCATTGTTGGACAAGGTCTAGACCACTGATAGATGGGGTTTCAATGATGTGTTAATGTGCCTTTGTTGATGTCTTGTAGGTTACTGTGGTGCTGACTTGAAGGCGCTGTGTACTGAGGCTGCCCTACATGCTTCACGGCGGCGTTACCCACAGATTTACACCAGCAATGAGAAGCTGCAACTCAACGTCTCTTCCATACATATCTCGGCCAAGGACTTCTTCAAAGGCATGCAGGCTATAGTCCCAACTGCACAACGATCTGTCTCATCACCGTCCCGATCTTTGACCTTTGCTGTGGAGCCGCTGTTAAAACGCCAGTTCCAGAAATCGCTTAGCTTACTACAGGATGTGTTTCCAAGCGTTCTTTCTACTCTTGCTTCTTTAGACATCCCTGGTAAGTTGTCTTATATACTGGGGCAGTTGGGTAGCCTAGTGGTTAAAGCGTTCACTCGTCACACCGAAGACCCGGGTTCGATTCCCGACATGGGTCCAATGTGTGAAGCCCATTTCTGGTGTCCCCCGCCGTGATATTGCTGGAATATTGCTAAAAGCAGCAAAATAGCATTACCGTTATTATAGCTAAAATGGATGGAATTTATTATCAAATAAAAATAAACAATATCGGTTTTGAAACATTTAGTGCAATCAACACGAATGTCACTGACCCACTTTTACAAATATTTAAACGTCATAGAACAAACCAGATGACGGCACTATTGAGCGTGACGTCACCCATCCCTATCCTATGACGTCACCTAACAAAGGGCGTGATAATGGCCCATCGTCAATATGAGGGCATTATCAAGTCACAGTGGCCCGCTCATTTCTGATAACATGCGGGCGGTTTAATGATAATTCTATCCATTTTAGCTATAAAATCTTTTAACGTCTATTGATGTGTGAAGATCTGAAAGTCAAACCATGCCCCACACTATACATAGATTGTTTTCCACGGACAATTAGCTGAGTTTACTATCCGGGGCCCCATTCCACAAAGCCATGAAGCACTAAGACGATCGTAACTCCATACTTTATATAGATTTACGGCAGTCTTAGAGCTAAGATCGCTTTGTGAAACGGGGCGCTGGAGTACATTCGACTAGATTTGGGCTTCAGACTACTGTCTTGACTGCTTTATTGACTTTAGCCATGTTTACTTCTCAGTTTCCCTGATTATGTTATCCTCTTCTGATTATCCTCATCCTCATCATCTTGTGTCAGCATCTTGACATGAATATATGTCTTGTATAAAGTGTCGGCCTGATTGGTCATAAGATTGGTATTAACTTGATATTTTGCAGCTACCAATTCTCAGGCGGAGAACCAAAAAGGGGAGGTAACCCTGGATGAGTTGGCCAGTGATGATGATGAGGAGATGCCATCAATCTACGAGAAATGTCGTAATCGAAAGCGGTCGAGTCTGGAACCTCCCATCCCTGATCATGCTCCAGCCTATCTCAACTTTGGCAGGTTAGCTATTAAAGATGGGCTACTATACACCTATGATATTCACCTTTTTAAAACTCTCTGCAGCGACAGAAACTAACATTTTTGGTCCACTAGTCTTTATGATGATAACATAAGTCGAAATGTACAATGGATCTATAAAAGATGAATGTAGTTTTAGGGATTATTTTTCCCCCAAACCACTGGACAAGGAAGCGGAGTGTTACAGTGTTCATTTGTGACAGCTAAAACCAAAGTCGAGTCCTGTCATAGATGGCAATGTGGAGCCACTCTGACCACCGCTGCTGACCGGTCTAGTGGTAGAGTGTATGCCATGAGATCACAACAAAAGATGTTAAAAGATAGTACTTGTTGTTACCCTGCCAGGCGCTTGGCATTAAGGAGCTAAAACAAGGACTGGTCGGCTCTGAGTATACTGTGTCTGAATGGGGTATTCATGTTAAACTGCGTCATGGTAGTACCACGTTTCACCTCACCTGAGCACCCCTGCCATGGAGGGAAACCAGACAGAAAACCTACACACCATTTTGCCCAATCTCACATAACAGAAACTAAAATAATAACTAGTACAAAATAATTTGGATGGTCAAAGAACATTACTTTTTTTCAAAATTCATGTGAAAAACATGAGGATTCTTCAAATTTGAAATTTCCGCATTTATTAAATCTGCAATAACACATACAAAATTTAACAATGCATAATCTATTAGTGTGTTATAATCTAATGTGGGTATTTTTCTAAGACAATCGTACCAGGTTCCAACAACGTATCGGCCACGACTGTTACTGTGTGGGAGTCGTGGGCAGGGCCAGACGTCTCATCTGGGACCAGCTATTCTCCATCATCTGGAACAGTTGCCGGTGCAAGTGCTTGACCTTCCTACAGTGTATGCAGCCTCTGCCAAGACGCCAGAGGAGTCATGTGCTCAGGTATTTCCAGCAGCTGATTTCAGTTCATAAAGAAGCAAAACTTAACCTTGAATTACCATTCCTTGACCTTGACCTTGACCTCAAAGAACATTCCCAAGGCCTGTACAGCATACAAACCACATATCACGTCTCTGAACGTAGAATTCAGTGTAACAACAAGAATGTAGATCACAGATCCACTCCCAGGATGACATGTACCATGTTTCATTTGTCGACAGTAAATTTTCTTGAGTTATATTTTTTTCAATATCTTACCCTTGATGATGATCTTGACTTTTGACATGACTGATCAATGACTGTAAATAATTCTGTAAGGCTGTGAATGACATGTCCATGTGTGGCAGTAGTTTCAGCACTCAAATTCTGACGAGACCCTGAGGCATCTCCATTTACATGAGCTGCTTCATACTTGGGTGTTAACCTGAGTCTTTCATTTATTTCAGAATTCTAGGTCACAGTAAATCAGTTTCATGGTTATGCTTTTACAGCAGAATTTTGTAATTTATGCCGCAGAACTTTTTACCTTTTACCACAGAATTCATTTTGTGAGGAGACTACAATTCCAGCATCAGTTAACACCAATTCCAATTGTGTTCCAATTGTGTTCCAATTGTGTTGCAGGTGTTCCGCGAAGCACGCCGGTGTTCGCCCAGCATTGTGTACATGCCGTACGTTGACCAGTGGTGGGAGGTGCTCAGCGAGACACTGCGAGCCACATTCCTCACCATGATCCAGGACCTGGACCCGACCACACCCATCCTCATCCTGGCCACCAGTGAGGTCCCTTACCCACAGATAGACTGCCTGGTTAGTTTACCTGCTCTTGTTCTTGTGTACTCGCGCTTTGGGATGTTGAAGTGAAGTACTGTGACAAGTGTCTGTATTTTCATGTGTAATTGTTGTCATCTTCCCGAGGCAGGAGTGTCCACTTGCCTGTACCAAAGCCTAGTTTTCACCCTTGCCCTTTCAAACCAACTTTTTTTGTGCTAAAACAACTCCCACGAGTCATTTCTTTCTTTTATGAGATATCAACATTATGTAAAGCCTTAGAAATTATTACCCATATTTTAATAATGATGACTCCCTCAATAGAATCCGACCTCGGCAATGTCGGACAAGTCCAAGTTATGCACAGGTGGGTATTTCTCTCATATTCTCAGGAAGATTACCTGTACCTTTTCTCCCAATACCAACTGTCGTATCTCTCCCAATATTGGATGCTATTGTTCGGCCATCAAGTTGATCTGCGTTGCCAAGCTACATCTATAGGAAACAACTCACAAGGTCATCCAGTATACAACGTCATCAAGTTGCGAGCGTATGTTCGAATCTTCAGAATTGACGTCATGATAGAACAATGCTTTATCGTGAAATAAACCACACTTAGTTTTTCACTGTTCTTTGCAATTTATCGCATAGATATCTTATTTAAGTATTTAAACCGCTGTAAGATATCAACCACAAATACATTGAATGACCTGAAAACAATAGATGACGTTTTATTCTTACATGGCGACCAAACAATGATGGTAAATGTTTCCACCAGATGTTTAGGAAACTGAATGTAACATTAATGAATAACATATTTAGGTCGTTTGGCGGAAGTCCACGCTGTTTCTGGGCTGCGAGTCCCATTTAACAGCTTATCAGTCAGTCAGCTGATGTTGCATCCACACATTTGTTTCACTGCAGCTACAGCTTTTGTTTGACTCTCATGCTGGGGAGGTCCTGGAGATGCGAGACCCCCAGGCTGATGAACGAAGAGAATACTTCCAGGATCTTCTGCTCAATCAAGCCATCAAACCTCCACCTCTCAAGAAGCAGGCAGGTATGTTCATCAGAGGCTGACAACATGGCTGACTTCCACCAGCTCATGCTGCAGAAGCTTGTATCTCATTACCTTCACCATCCTAACAGCGTAACGGTAGTGTAAGATGCACTAATTGAACAATCAGTTCTTTCTGATCTAGAACTGAATTGATCCCCATTTGAACCTCTCATTAATGCATGCTTAATGGCTGCTAGTTCCTTTCTTGTATAGAACTGAACCAAGCCTTGCTACTGCTACACTCACCGCCTTCTTGTCCCCCTGCTGTACTTGACGCATGTTCCTTCTGATGTGTGTCTCACCCTTGTCTTGCATGTGTCTCACCCTGTCTCACCCTGTATCACAGTCTCACCCTCTCTCACTGTGTATGTGTTTGTTTGTGTGGTAGGGAATGAGAATCTGCGAAAGTTACAACTTAAGCTCAGAGCAAAGTCACCATTGTTGAAACCCTCTGAGGTGGAGGACGGTATGTACAAGAGGATATAAAGAAACCTTGAGTTGACTTGAGTTTGCAAGTGGTTATGTCTACGGTTGACATGTTTGCCTAATGCACTTTCCTCTGTGATCACTGGACCATGAAAAGGAAGAAAATGTTTCTCATCAGTTTGCAGGTCATTGAGACTGCAGCATGTGAGCTGGAAGCTTGTATTTCTGTTAATCTGGAGACTTTTTGGACGAGTTATTTTCCCTTGACTTAAATATCATGCATTGGTTGCAAAAGAGTTCATGTCTTCACTGAAAAGCCAAATAATTGGTCATTTTGAAAACAATCTTCTGATGAGAAACATTATTTATCTTTGATGGAAGTATTGATCAGCAGGTAATTCAGTATTTTGATTTTGATTTCTTTCTCCAAGTGACATCTTTTTGCCCAATTAATACCTGACTATCAAATATTGAGCTCCTTTAATCTGTTGTATCAGTATCACTATTAATATTTTCCTTGTTCTATGTAGAGCTTGGCGGTAAAGAAACCAAGTCAATCCCCGACATGGCTCAAGTGTAGGAAGTCCATTCTTTGTGTCCTGTCCTAACCCTAACCCTAACCACAATTTTGCTGACTGTGACGTAATATCAAATAATCACATATCTGTCTTTACATGTCACGACACAAGTCACTTGCTGGAATTTCTTGTTATGTTTTCCAATTCGATGATATATTAAATGATGTATTCTGTGGGTGTTTAGCACTGCGAATGTTGGAGGTCCTACCCAAGGCACCTCCTCCGGTCCCGGCCAAACTGACAGAGGCTGAGTCCAAGAAACTCAAGCAGCAAGAGGAGGCCACGTTTCGGGAGCTGCGCATCTTCCTCCGCGACGTCCTCAACAAACTGGGCAGAGACAGAAAGTTCTCCATATTCACCAAGCCAGTGGATGTGGAGGATGTACGTACCTTGGTAGAGTAGAAAATCTAAACCAACTGATGAAGAAAGATGCTCATCATCTTTTTTGTGATAGTACATGTATGTGACATTTTCTAAATGATCATGGGGGGCACGGGTGGCCCAGGCGTCTAAGGCGTCTAAGGCGCTGTGCATAGTTGCGTCCCTTGGGCACGCCAGAAACCTATGATTGTGGGTTCGAATCCTGGTTTGCCCCGATTATCTTTCTAGGCTTGTCAGCACCATACCCATGCTCCTGGGTTTCACTTTGGGCTTTCCTCCCACATTAAGCTGACATGCCGTGATATAACTGGAATACTGTTAAAAGTGGCGTCAAACTTAACCCACTCACTCTAAATTATCCTGACCACATGCAATTATAACTTGTCACACGTGTAGCCTGCTTTCAATTGGGATATTTACTTTCCTCTGTAGCTGCTTTAGAGTACCATTTAATTATCTTGTCAGGTGCCGGACTACTATGAAATCATTCAGAGTCCAATGGACCTGTCGACCATGATGTCAAAGATTGATCTACATGCATACCAGACAGTCGCTGATTTCCTGGGTGACATCAATCAGATCAGTCTCAACGCTCTGGAGTACAACCCGGACAGAGACCCTTCAGGTAGAGATCCTACTCCGTCAGGCAATGTCCTCTAATCCCATGAGATGGCACCACTGATTCCAGCAGATACTGGTGTATTGTGAGATTTCTTGTCATCATTGTAACAACAGGATCTGCATATATTTGAACAGCAGGTGTATTCTGAATTCAATAGAAAATGTTTTGTGTGGCGTGGGCGTTGAAGATAATAATCACACTCCCTGTAAAGAGCTTGCGTATCAATTAAAGTTCAGGGCCCCGTTCCGCAGAGCAATCTTAGCTCTAAGACTTTTAAGTCTATGTCAAAGCTATGATTGTCTCTGGCTATGACTGTTGTAAGTCAATGTTAAAGTATGGTGATGATCGTCTAAGCTCTGACTGTCTAAGTCTATGTCAAGGTATGATTGTCTCTGGCTATGACTGTTGTAAGTCAATATTAAAGTATGGTGATGATCGTCTAAGCTCTGACTGTCTAAGTCTATGTCAAGCTATGATTGTCTCTGGCTATGACTGTTGTAAGTCAATGTTAAAGTATGGTGATGATCGTCTAAGCTCTGACTGTCTAAGTCTATGTCAAAGCTATGATTGTCTCTGGCTATGACTGTTTTAAGTCAATATTAAAGTATGGTGATGATCGTCTAAGCTCTGACTGTCTAAGTCTATGTCAAAGCTATGATTGTCTCTGGCTATGACTGTTGTAAGTCAATGTTAAAGTATGGTGATGATCGTCTAAGCTCTGACTGTCTAAGTCTATGTCAAAGCTATGATTGTCTCTGGCTATGACTGTTGTAAGTCAATGTTAAAGTATGGTGATGATCGTCTAAGCTCTGACTGTCTAAGTCTATGTCAAAGCTATGATTGTCTCTGGCTATGACTGTTTTAAGTCAATATTAAAGTATGGTGATGATCGTCTAAGCTCTGACTGTCTAAGTCTATGTCAAAGCTATGATTGTCTCTGGCTATGACTGTTTTAAGTCAATATTAAAGTATGGTGATGATCGTCTAAGCTCTGACTGTCTAAGTCTATGTCAAAGCTATGATTGTCTCTGGCTATGACTGTTGTAAGTCAATGTTAAAGTGTGGTGATGATCGTCTTAGCGGGCCAAGATCCATGAGATCATCAGTTCATTGAAATGTCGTAAGATGTAACTTACAGGATGGTGTGTGGTCAGGCTCAATGTTTTAGTTGATACTCGTCATCGTATCCCAATTACGTGTATCGATGCTCATGATATCAATCACTGGATTGTCTGGTCCAGACTTGATTATTTACAGATCGCCGATATATAGCTGGAATATTGCTGTGTGCAGTGTTAAACAACAAACAGTTAATGAAGCAAACAGGTTTTGATGTTGATCTCTACCATGTTCTGTAAAGCTATTGGATGTCAGTTTACTCCTGTGGCATTCTTATGCTGAACACTTTCCCTGGCCCTCCAAGAACGTGTCCTTACTTCAGTCAGACACAGTTTGCTTCGTTTACTGGTTGTAAATCCTTTTCGATCACTGCTTCAAGACATGCAGTCTCTGAAGGAAGAGTCAAACACACTCGCTGTCCCAACTCTTCACTTGTGTTGCTTGAGCAGATTTAAACATTGTTGATCTGAATTTGTGTCAAATGTGCTTCCAGATAAAGCAATTCGTCACAGAGCGTGTGCCTTGAGAGACACAGCCCAGGCAATAATTGAAGCTGAACTTGATCCAGAGTTTGAAAAACTCTGTCACAGTATAGCTCAGAGTCAAAAGAGGAGAGGTGAGTGTGAAACTTTTTCCTAAACTGATGAGCGAGATATGGTGTTGAGCACAAATATCAACCATAAACTATTATGAAAAACAATATCTCTACAGCATGCATACTGGGAATGGAATCCTGGAAAAGTCATGGAAAAATAACAAAAGTAATGTAAGTATAGAAAAGAACATGAAAGAATATGACTTTAATGATTGTGATCAACATTTTATGGGACCAAATAAATTCTGACAAAAACAACATTTACAGTCTTGATAGTTTTGTTTTGCACAGTACAGAATGGGTATTATTGCCATCGTTCTTTGTCAGTTTATGATATATGTTTCCATATATAACACAGAGGTTGACCCAGTTTGAAACTGGTTTGGTTGACATGAACATGTTGATGAGTGGGAGTTTGTTAATGTCCTCCCAAGTTGTTAATGACGTTTTTGATGATGCTACCAGCATCTGTACCTAAACATTGTGTGGAAAGGAGAAAGAGCAAAAATTCCCAAATCAACTGTTTTCTAAAATGCCACTTAAAGATCATTTTTTAACTTATCCTGCATTACTCTGTATTAACTGCTGCCTTTCGACAGAGAGACGAACTGTGTGAGTTCCAGCTGCTGAAGAAAGTTGTTCCAACCAGTACAGGAGGCAGCACCTTGCACAGTCGGCACGTGACCCGGCAGTCATGACGTCACATCATAACACATAACTGCGTAGTCAGCCACCACCGACAGACATATCTGTATCCCTTGTGGAAATATAAAGCTTTATGATCCAAACTTTGCGTGGTTTCCTCAACAAAAATCTGCTGTATTGTTTATTTTTTATGGTTTGTTACCTTTGGGTTCATCCTATTCATAATTGGTAGCCTTAATCGCTCGTCGTTATCGGCGTCGTTACTCTCGCTTGGCTTCATCAGAGGGATCTTTTTTACCCGATTTTGATCCTCCATCTCCCGAGATTGACACACACATGGGCCCATCCATTGTCCTCCTTCTCCCGAGATTGACACACACATGGGCCCATCCATTGGTCCTCCTTCGCTCCAAGGGCTCCTATGTCGACAAATAGTCTACGATCTGGTCTAACCGCTACCACCTGACTCTATGTTGACAGATCTTGTTAAGGCGTTGGATGAGGACTTAGCTAGGCTGTCCCTCACGCCGTCGTTCAAGGCTCCTCGCTTTCGGCGTGATGATTTCCCTGTCCACTCCTTCGATGTGGCTGACGGTGTGCACTTCCTAGATGAGGACCTACATCGAATGACCGGGTCATCCCAGTCTGCCACCGCCCGTATGCCGGACTCCCATTTGCTTTCGTAGAAAAGGAACTTCGGCATTCGTTAAAACTATTGTCTTCTCTCGCCTCCTCTGCTAGAGCCATTGACGAAGATCTCTCGGAGTCCATTCCTAGTAGTAGTAGGATCGACCACCTACAGAACTTTCAGTTGACCATCTGCAAAATCAAAATCATGGCTACTTGACACTCACGGAATGGGATTCCGAGTTGAAGCGTTCCTTACTACGTCAACCTTGGTCGGGACCTACCCTCTTTGGCACCTACCAGCCCCTGCGTGATCGTCACCCTGGCAAGGGTGCTGATTCGAACTCCAAGCGTTGCCCGGCTGGACCTCAACGACTGGGACCTCCAACACCCAGTTGTTTCGGTCACCGACACACCTGTGGGTGGGAGACTAGGCCGGTTTGGGAGAAATTGGTGCATACAAGAGGACCCGTTCGTGACAATGTCCTCCGTCAGGGGTACCAGCTCCCGTTGGCACTACATCCTCCCCTGACGTCCACTCCGACGGCAGCTGCGTATTCACCACACCAATATCAGCTCCTTCATGACAGAGTCGACACTTTGGTCGGAAAGAGGCCATAGAGGTTGTACACAACCCAGCTCGAAAACTCAGGATTTTACTCCCCAGTGTTTTTGGTTCCAAGGCAACCACCAAATTGCGCATGATCCACAACCTCTCCATTTTTAACCGGCACTACCGGGTACGTCCTCCTTACTTCTGAATGGCGACGTTGCGGCTGCTCAGAACAACAATCACAGCAGACAATTCCCTGATCAGCCTTGACATCCAGGACACCTATCTTCATGTGACGATCCACCCAAATGACCGGCGCTTCCTCAGGTCCTTTTTCAATGGTACCCATTACCAGTTGGTGGTCCTACCATTTGGGATTTTCGACGGCCTTGTAGCTTTTCCGTTGGCTGCCTACCTACACCTGAGGAACATCAACTTCGATCCCTACATTGACGACTGTCTCCTCAACAACCAGGACTCAGATTTTACCCAGCGGCTCTTCAATCAGTTTGATATGATTGTGGTTCGCCCCGATTATGTTTCTAGGTTTGTCAGCACCACACCCTCGTGTGTGCTCGTGGGTTTCACCGAAGAGGTAAACGTCTGAAACCTGCATCACTTCGGGCTTTCCTCCCACATTAAGCTGACACGCCGCGATATGACTGGAATACTGTTAAAAGCGGCGTTAAACCCAACTCACTCATTCACTCAATCAGTTTGGAGTGGATTGTCGATCAGACGAAGTCGGAGCTGACCCCATTGTTCTGTCTGCAGTTCATCGGGGCCCTGTTTCTCACGGACCAAGACCTCCTTCAAGTTCCCAGGGACAGGTGGTTGAAAATCCTCGCCAGCAGGTTCGAACCCTCCGCCAATGGGTCTCCTGGGTCTCCTCACCTCGGCTCAAGATCTGACTGCCAGGGGTCGCCTCTAACTCTGTCCCATTCAACGGTTTCTCGCTCCCTTCATTCGGCGGCAGGATCCGGAATCCTTCATCATCATCCCGGTTCACCTACACCCCTTCCTGGTGGAAGGTGGAATCAAACGTCTGCGGCGGTGTCTCCTTGACCGCGCTACAGCCCACCCTCCACCTGTTCTTTGCCGCATCCAAACAGGGTTGGGGGGCTCACCTGGGGACTCAAACAATTGCAGCGGGTACTCTCAGGGTACTCTCCACTCTCAGTCCCTGCTAAACCAGACCTTCCAATTCTTAGACATGGTGGACTGATTAGACATGCAATTCCTAGTTAAACACATTTCAGGTTGCAAGAATGTTCTGGCAGACGCCCTGTCCAGGCCGGACAAGGTGGCTCCCACCGAATGGAAGCTCCACCCAGAGGTCTTCACCGGACTTTGTCAGACGTTCGACACCCCAGACAACCATCTGTTTGCCATATCTCAGAATTGCTAGCTGTCGACTTACATCTCACAGGATCCAGCTGCTGTGGCAGTTGACGCCTTCAGTGTTCCCTGGGAAGGATTAAGCACTTTTGCTTTTCCGCCTCCGGTTCTCCTTCCCAGGGTTCTTCAAAAGATCCAGGCCACTCAGCACCTGACACTGATTTTGGTTGCACCTTGGTGGCCGTCTAGTTTTTGGCTACCCGCCTCATTCTATTTCTGTCACCAATTTTGGGTTCCCTCTTTTTGCATCAACTCTCATTTCCTTCAACAGAAATGGTCGTAGATGTTCCGGTCAGCACTTGGATTCATCGGACTTTGACAAGGGTTTCTTATGGATCGCATCTGAAGGTATGCCCACCGGCTGTGCGATCTGATAAAGATGCAATACGGAGTAATGCAGGATAAGTTAAAAAATTTACTTATCCTGCATTATGAAGTGCCCTCCCTTCGCTACGCTGCCTCCCCATGAAGTTTCAGATGTTATGTTTAAAGCAGTTGTGTGTTTTGATGTGACGTCATGACTTCCGGGTCACGTGCCGACTGTGCGAGGGGGCTGCCTCCTGTACTGGCTGGAACAACTTTTCTTCACTCAGTTCGTCTCTCTGTCAAAAGAAATCAGTAAATGCAATACGGGGTAATGCAGGATAAGTATACAATGTTACAAATATTTAGATTTACACTAATTTTCACTGGAAAGTAAGTAAATGTAATACTTAATCTTCTTTCAGACGTGGGGCGGTCGGGTAGCCTAACGGTTAAAGCGTTCCCTCGTCACGCCGAAGACCCGGGTTCGATTCCCGACATGGGTACAATGTGTGAAGCCCATTTCTGGTGTCCCCCGCCGTGATATTGCTGGAATATTGCTAAAAGTGGCGTAAAACCATACTCACTCACTCACTCTTTCAGACGTTCATGTTTCTTATCCATTGAAAGTGCTACCAGTGTCTCTTCCTAACACTTCCATCCTATGTTGTAGGTGTAGTGAAAGAGCCTGTCACACCAGCTTTCTACTTTACCAGACCTTTGCACAAGCAGGGTGAACAACAGCAACATCAGCAGCATCCATCCAACTCAACCCCCCATGACCCAGCAGCTCCTGGTGTGCGACACAGTCGTAGGGTGAAGGGTTTGGTAGCTGAAGATCTTCCTGCCCTAGAATTAGTTGAAAAACAGTGGCAGGTAGACAAACGTGTCAGTAGGACTTCACAGAAGGAATCTCCATCCCACTCATCTCCCAAATACAAAAAGAACAGTCCCAGTTCAAGGCAGCATCAAGATACACACAATAGTGCAGCACCTAACTCACCTACAAAGACTCCATCTTCAGGGAAAAAAGCGAAGCCTAAAAAGAAGTGTATTTGGGCAGTAACCAAGCGACGGAAAAAGCGAGGTGCTGCAGCGAAGAAACAGAAGACTTCGGATGTGACAAATGATGCTACAAGTCTGTATGTGGACATTGAGGAAGAGGTCAGTGATGATTCGGACAGTGAGATTATCATTGCTGAGAGCCCTTGTAGGAGAGAAATTGACTCTGGGTCTAAACACTCACCGTGCCAACCATCCTCCTCAGGGAAAGATACACCTGCATCTAATTTTATGTCATGCAAAAAATCACCTACCTCAAGATGTCTGGAACTGATGCCTGGTCATGACAGTGGAGTTGGCAGCTCTGTTGACTCAAATGGAGACTCGGTAGACAGTATTGATCATGCTAAGGAAAAAGACCGAAAGGTATATTAGCTATTATTTTAAATTCAAATACAACCTTATATCTCTACAAGCTGTTCCTTTACATGTCTCAGTAGCAGATATTTGATACCACATGTTTCACATTGCAGGAATCAGTTTGAGGTGACATATCTGCTGGCTTCTTCCACTTATATTGATTTTGATTTGTAAAATATTTTGTAGCAGGAAACCCTTCCTGACTGGTATCTCTTGTTCCTCTTGCATTTCTCCTGTATAGTATCGAAGCTCTAAGATTGAGTAGGCCTCATCTTGAAACCTAAACCCATCTCTTCTTTGTTGTTTCCCTCTTCTGTACCTGATTCTTGTGTTTCAGCTGTTAGAACATTCCTCTGGGGCAACAGACATGGTCGGAAATGAAGAAGAATCTCAGGATCTAGGTCAGTAGATGCCACCAAGTTGTAAATGCCACTGGGAGAAGCCTGAATATTGCCGACTGTGGTGTAAAACAACATTCACTCACACACTGAGGACACTTCTTTAATGGTGGTGGTTATCACTCAATGTCGATTTCATATCAATCATTAATTGGTTAGAATTATTTCATTTCACTACACATTACGTGGCTACTTACATAACAGATGCGGTTTCTTGACACTACTATCCACTGCTATTCTCTGCTTCTGCTGACGTAGACAGAGCCCAGTTTTCTAAGGTGATGCATCAATACCAGCATGGTCTTGAATGACAACTAGTTAATTATATCTGTCTGCTACTCATGCTGCTGAATGTTACTTATTAAGAAGAAATTAAAGCAGATTGATGTTTGCCTTGACAGTCAACTCACTGACCACTAATGTGATCAATCTGAGCACTTGCTGCCATTGTTAATGAGCATGTCTTGTGTTTTGCTGGAACAGAATCACAGAAGAAGTTCCGCTCAACAAAATCGCGCCTTCAGACACAGCAGCAACAACGAGCACTGGAGCTCCTGGAGGAAAGTTTACCACCGCTTGTCTTTGATCTTCCTCGCCTACAACGATTACTGGACAAAGTAGTGATTGTTACAGACAATTACTGTCTAGAACGACTGGAAAAGCTGTACAGTGTCTTCAGTCAGTGCATTTACAGACACAGGAAAGATTATGACAAGACAGAGCTATCTGAGGTATGCCATGTTTTACTCCTTGTGCCAAGTAGAAATGACCTCGTGGGAATTACAGGGTAGAAGAGCTCTCCATGTGAGCCTTTAGGCAGACATGCATTATGTTTATGTTTATGTTGTCAATGTGTCATGTTTACAGCAGCCAAAACACTCCAGGGCCTCATTCCTCAAAGCGATCTTAGCGCTACAGTGATCGTAAGCCTATGTTAAAGTATGGGACTTACGATCACCTTAGCGCTACGATTGCCTTGAGGAACGGGGCCCAGGGTAATATAATCTATGATGTCATTCTTAAAATAATGGCAGTTTAAGACATGTTTTCGTTTCATTAAGGAAACATTGGGAACTGAGTATACACACACTGCCTGACTAAACCACCCCACATATTAGATAGTGGCAAATGTTGTGCAGCCATGGTTACAGAAGTGCTCACATATATGGAAACTCGTTCTGAACTTATTGGGAACATTAGGTAAGTTTGTTGAAGTGGGCATCACATCGAGGTGCGAGGATAATTAAACCTGTTGGGTGACCTCATTTGCATATTTCTCAGATCACAATTAATGTCACTGTCCATTATATGATACATGTACTGTAAGTGCACTGCATATATATAGATGTGTGTTTCTTTTTCTTTTAAGGAACTTGAGACCAAGTTGGACCACCACTCCAAGCAATGGCCCTCAAGTGTGTAAACATCAGAGCAGGATCCTGTGTGGGTGTGTGGGCGTGTGTGTGTGTAGGCGTGTGTGTGTGTGTGTGTGGGCGGGCGTGTGTGTGTGGGTGGGTGGTTGGGCATGTGTGTGGGTGTGTTTGTGCGTGGGTGTGTTTGTGCGTGTGTGTATGTGTTTGTATGTATGGAGACATAATGTGTGAATGAGAATACAAGTGTGAGAGAGTTGTATGTTTGTTTTGTGCTCAAATATGCAAGTGCCTCAAACCCAGGTAAAAATCAGGTCAACTTTACAAAGTCGAGAATACTTTCAGGAGAGGTTTTTACACATTTCAATTCCATACTGACTTTATATGAATGCAGCTCAACCGTGCCAATACCACCGACCATTTGAAGTATATATACCTCATATCAGGTCAAGGACATAATAAGTGCAGCATAATCATCATTCATCTGCACCATGTGGACCATCCTCCCTCGGCTGCACGGCCTCGTCTCCAGTAACATCATGGAGAGTCTTACTACCTGTTTGTATCATAGCATCATATTTATTAGGTCATATTTATTGTGTACAGTGTAAGTAGGCTATTATGTGTGTGATAGACTCTCTAGGGCAATTGATTGTTGGCATAGATGTTTCAATCTGAATATTGCAATCATGTTTTTATTAGACTCTTCTAAAATGTCGCGAAAAAATACTGTACTTGAATCATGTATTGTTAAATGTATGATGTTTTAGTAATGAACATGTATGTATCTAGTATTGTAATGAAACATGCTGATTTCATGGGAAAACAATCTGATTGAATATGAAAATTTTGTTTTCAAGCCTACATTTGGAACAGACCCCTGTCAGTATTAAATTTGTGCTGATTTACTGTTAAGAGTTATTGTTTAAGGAGCTTCAGAAGAAGTAAGATTGTGAAATGTTACTAATAATGATGTACATGCACTTTAAATTATTTAGATCTAGCTTAGTTGAGAGCTACCATGCTGCCCTGTGAGTTAACTATGCTGTCACCATGGGCACCGGGGGGTTGGACAGTGCTAGGATTAACTTTGTGGCTGTGTTCAGCAGTTGTCTGTCTGTCTGTCTGTCTGTGTGCTGAACAGGCTCTTCTCCATGTCTTCAGAAAACTTGTTGACTGAACCCCAAACTGCTGTGTACAGGAAATTTTACTTTAATATTTCTCAGGCTTAAAAGGTAAATTTATATTTATTTTGGCTGTTTTCATAATTTATTGTAGACATCGTATAATGATTATCTTATACTGAATATTGTGATCTCATCTCTGTTCCCGTGTTCGTCTTCGTCTCTAATAAACTTGATTGCACATGTGTATTACTTCATGAAAGAAGTGGTTTCAGTTGTTGATAATGTGTAAAAGTTTGAAAATGTGTAACATTGTCACCAAAAATCACATTTAGGGGGAAAACTTTTTTATGAATCTTTGAAGATTGGGAGTTTAGATTAATGGTATTTTTTAATCAAAATCAAGATTAATTGCAGTTGATGAATATGCCAAAGCATATTGTTTGTATTTTTGGTATGTTGATTTCTTATGGTCACTATGAAGAATGAAGTTCCATTGCTTTGTCAGTAAAATGCTCAGATAGGCACAATGGTAAATATATATACATATATGTAGGTTATTAAGACAATCACTCCCCTTATTTTTGAATGTCTATTTTTGAACTGTGGAATGTTTTTTGATGTATATATTGATATATTTAACATATTGATCAAACTATCTTGTACTGGCCTGAAATTCGTTCTGCATTACTTTGATATGAGAGTTAGCAGTTTTCTGCATTTCTGTGTGTGACATGATGATAGGTGAAATGTTTATGAAAGGTTTGTTTCATTATCACTTTAGGTAATTCAATAAAACTTGCTGATTTGTGCATTTGTGATTCAGAAAGTTCCATTCCGTAGTTTTGAGAAGGTAACATGAAATAGTTGGTCACCCTCACTTTTGGAACCTTTTCTGGTAAATATAACTTGCAAATATGATAACATCAATGGATTTAGGAATATAATGTCAACAAGTGTACAGCCAGTGTTAATGCATGCTACTGCAAAGATGTTAAGGAACATCGAATTCTTCCTATTTCTATAGTTACTATATCTAATGCAATGACAGTTTGACTATATTGATGTGAAAGAATCGGGTGTTGTTTAATTTCTTTGTAGTAGTGTACATTAACTTGTTTTGAGTAGTATAGCTGGCTTTTCCTTCCTAATCTGTCTGCACATTGATGTGGGGTGTAAGAACAACGGATGGTTGAACCCAGGACAGTCAACATGGTCCATCACACTTGCTGTCTTATGTTCTGAAGTGACTTAATCTCAGGATTTTCAGATGGCAGGAAAATGATCCAACATTCCATCTTCATGTATGACAGTTCACTGTAGTGAGTCCGCCCCACTTCACATGTACATAACCGATGCTTGAGAAAATGATGAAACATCACAACATGCTCATGTCCGACAATCACACCACTGAATGTGTTCATCAACATAGGTGAGGAGTTGTATCTTCAACACATTTGCAAGGGAAGAAAGTGGCCTCTAGAAGCTTATACTGGGTATTGCCCCTGTTGAGGGTAATTGCAAAGTCTAGTCCATATCTGTTTCAACATCATTCTCAAGTAACTTTTTTTCATTTTTAGATGGTAATTCTCCTCACAATGCAAATTCCATTAATATCAACTACTTGTTCAAACACTGCCAGACTTACCCATTGATATTTCATAACTGAATACATGCACTAAAGTGAAAAACATGTATGTGTCTGTATGATGTTGTGTAATGATGATCACCACTTAGTTAGTGGTCAGGAACCTTGTAGATGACTTACAGACACTGACCATCATGTGATATGAAATTCTTTCTGACATTTACCTATACTTCACTTTACAAAGTGTTTAGTATGTAAATTAATGTAGCCTTTGAAGTTCTGGTTACTTAGTTAAAGCGTTAAATCAAATGTATGTGTTTCGACAGGTTTTATTCTTTTTACTTACACTCTTGTGACTTATGATTTGTAGAGATGACTTTTTGGCCTTTTCTACTTTTGTATGTACATTGTCAGTACTGAGAAATGAATTGGAAGAAAAATGTAACAATTAAAAATAGCACTAGAATGAGTTTCTGTTGTAATCCTTGAATTGTCCTACCTGATGTTATTTTGTGTAATGTTGGTTTGTGAATAATGCAATGTTAGTGTAGGATGTTTGTGTATTACATTGGTGTGAGACGCAATGCTAACGTCAGGTGACTCAAAGTGTAGGTTGTTGCTACCATTTATTCCAGTTGCAGCAGGAGGCTATCAGATTGCCGTGCATGATACTTACATAGACAAGGATCTACTCGCTTGGTTTCCAAGGTGTTCTTGCGTCAACATGTTGAAAATGTGGATGAGGAAATATTGGATCATGACTGCCAATTTGTGTTATATTGTGAGCGGACATTTGCTACAAGTGAAGTGAGCTGGATGTCACTAATGTTGGTGTAAATGTGACCACACTGAACTTTTCAATACTGCAATCAGGGTCTTGCACTGGGCAGCCTGCAGTAACCAAATGGCTCCTACTTTTCTCAGGCAATAACAGTGTTACATCTGTTGATGTACAGCTACGTGGCAAACTTACATGTGATATTTGTCATTGGACTCATCATATTCATGTCAACACCAGAGCTTGTAGGATGAAACCAACTGCCAGTCAGTAGCATCATCATCTCACGGCTGTTTGTCTTCCACACCATGCACACATCACGATGTATAGGGCAAATACTCATGGACAAAACTACTCCTCTCATACACTCCATGTCATCATTGAAAAGAAAGCCGATGGGCAGAAGACAGAAAGTCTATGTTGCCCTATTTCCTCATGACCCTTTATCCACTGCAAGTCACAGCCATGGTTAACAACGTACGATTGCTGACTCTTGTTGACCTTTCAGTGAAAACACTTGCATACTATGCAAATGTTTTCATTTATTTTAGAGTAAGAACATTTTCAGATGTTCAATATATTTATTGTTGCATTTTGTACATACTTGTATTTGTATATTAAACTATTTTACCAACCAGTAGTGTTGAGCTTGGTCTTGCATGTAAGGCTTTATTCTGCTCTTCCTTAAAGAATCTAAACAAGAGTCATCAGAAGACAACATACCCTCCCAATCTGGAGCAATTTGGAATTGGAGTTTGGCTACTTATACCCCACGTTTGGCTCATTGCCTTTGTTCAACATGTCCTTGATAAAGTTTGGGTATACAAAGCAGCATAACCCAGCTTGAAGACACCATACACATTATTGTGAGGGCAATGAAATGGTTATCTAAAGGATTACAGAATAGTTATTTAATTACAATTTTCTTATCCCTGCCACAATTATAGTACCGGTACCTATATGCTCACATTACTGTCTCAGCTTATTGTGGGATTAACCATTCTGCTTTTGAAGTTCCAAACTTATCTGTAGAGAAAATATATACTACTCAAAAGAAGTTAAAGAACACCAGATATATAATACACGATTTAGCAAATTGGTCATGGCATTATGTGTTATAACATTACTATCATCTAATGTTTGGCAACATGTTGCACCACGTCTGGGGTATTGCTGATCCTCCTGACACTTTCTGGAAACACTTCTGGTAGTCATGCAAATGAATTGAAAACATGAGCAAAACACAGGAATATTGTCGCCCAAACTCAACGCTGCAACTGTCCTTCGCAACAACCAACACAATTTTCATGCTCAGCATATGAAAGTGGTGATGTTCATTGTGCACGTGCATGCTTTCCCTTTAAGAAGGCGATGATGATGATCGTGTTATCACACTTTCCAAAACCATGCCACAGAGACGACATCTGACTGATGTTGATAGAGGACGAGCTATTGGTTGGCTCCAGGATTGCCTTTCTTTACCTGAAGTGGGCAGAAGATTGCAGGTGTCCCCCTCTGTCATTCACACCTTTGGCATCGTTTTGCTGCCACTGGCGGAGTGCAAGAGCGACATCGTTCTGGACGGCCAAGGTGTACCTCACAACGTGATGACCGATACCTGGTTCTCCAAGCACTCAGGCAGCGTACATCAACAGCAAACAACCTCAGGTTACAGTTAAGGGCTGTCAATAACACTGTCGTTAGTGATCAGTCGGTGCGAAACCGTTTACGAGCTGCGCACTTGAGAAGTCGACGACAAGCAGTGAGACCACCTTTACGTCCAGTTCACAGAACAGCACGTCTGGCTTGGTGTCGACAACATGTGCGTTGGAACAGACAGCAATGGTCTCGTGTACTGTTTACAGACGAGTCGCGATTCTGTTTGCAGCTCAATGATGGAAGAATACGGGTGTGGCGTCGTACTGGAGAGAGATTCACTGATGCCACAGTACGTGAACGTGTCGCTTTTGGTGGGGGATCAGTGATGGTATGGGAAGGATTCAGTTGGAATCATAGGACTCCTCTGTACCATATTGTCGGGAATCTGAATGCTGCCAGGTACCGTGATGAGATTCTTGAACCCCTGGTATTGCCCACACTTCGTCAGATTGGTCAAGGTGCTATCCTTCAGGACGACAATGCAAGACCCCATCGAGCTCGGATTATCACTGACTATCACAGACAAAGGCAGATTACCGTTATGCAATGGCCTGCTTATTCGCCAGATCTGGCGCCCATTGAACATCTTTGGGATGCCTTGGGAAGAGCCGTTCAAGCTAACCACCCAACTCCTGTTAATCTCCAGCAACTGTTAGGATTTCTTCATCAGGAATAGCAAGCAATTCCACAGACAACACTGCGGCAGCTTGTTCGATCTATGCGTAGAAGATGTCAGAACTGTATTGCTTCCAGGGGTGGGCCTACCCGATATTGAAGGAACAGGATTATCCTGAACTGTAGTGTGTGACTTTTGATTTATAGGGTACATGCAATGCATATTGATTTGCTCTGGTCAGCTGTATGCCAGCGTTTCTTTCGTCAATGAAATGTCATGATTAAATACTTATCTTTCCCAATCAGTGTTGTTCCTGTGGCCACAAAACTGATCTGTATAGCAGGTTTCATCAAGAAATATTCAACGGTTTTGTAGTTTGTTCTTGAAACAAGCACTACCCTCAAAAGTCCATCTTATCATGAAAATGTACCCTTTTGAAGGATACTAAACAACATTAATACACTCTAAGGTAAAGGAGTATACAAAGTGTTAGTCTTTTTCAACACATTTTATGAAACCGTGCCCCCCCCCCCCATAAATCTCAGCCCTGAGAAAGGAAAGTTCCTCTATAGAATGATTTTTAAATTAAACCTTATACATAACTCTATTTTGGGGACGTCAACACTACCTTAGAATTGAGTGGAGATGACTGTCAATCTCAGTGGTAAGTTCTTCAAGAACATTCGAAAGGACTATCCAGCATAGAAATATGTCTCTTGGACAAAGTAACAACAAACAGCATATGCGACTCATGAAAGTAGGTCTCAGTGACCTACCACTAATATTGTGATTACATAATATAACAACTACATGCATGAGACTTTGAAATATCTTCAGAAAAAGGCCTATACGTCAAAATGGCAAACATATTTTCAGAATGACCTTTACATAGGTCACTCACCCTAGCATGACACAAAGTAAATCATTGAGTTATCCAATATACAAGTTTTCAAAGATAACCTTGGCCCTAGACAGATCAGTGTGTCAAAACCATTTCCCAGGAGGAAAAAGGAGTGACATGGGATATCCCTGGGATGTCAAGAGGAACATGTTTCAAAAACGTGGTAGAGGCAGTGAAATTCTGACAAAACCTTAAAGTATCAACATTGGTTTAATGACTTGATATTTCACATGCCGGCCATGTACGAGAAAGTGCTTACGTTTATAAGAGAAAGGAAAGAAACAGTCAACGTGGCATAAATACTTTATTACCATATAACACACTCCAACAGAAACAATTTTTTAATGTAAACTGATAACCGAGTTATTGACGTCCCATTCCTTACAACTGTTACTATGTAAGACTGCAGCAGAAGTATCACACCCTTGGCATGTCTCCAGTGTAGCATAATGGTCTTCTGGTAGCACTTTCCATGCAACTCAGCAGACAATATCAAAATAAATCCAAGTCAACAAGCTTCCAATGGTCACAGTTGTACAGAGGGCCGTGTATATATGTACAGCATGTATTCACAGTATGTACACCGCAGTAGTCCATGGAGGGGCTGCAGTCACTGACGTCATGTGTGATGAAGTGTGCTAGCTAGGCCAGCTGTAGTGTGTACAGAAACATGCTGCTGCCTTATTTACTTGGGTATCTCTCAACGATCATGGCGTGACCCTGAAATAAAAAGGACAAGTCAAGTTAAGTAAGTAGCCATACTTGAGTCTACTAACCTGAATATGTATTTTGGCATTATCTTTAGCAGATTCTAGTTTTACCATATGGACCAGACTGAGCTGAGCTGATCTGACCAGACGCAGTCTCGCTAGCCTTGGGCTTTGGACCAGTGGCAAAAGCCATTGGCTGAAATTCTACAATGTTCAACGTCAAAATTTATTCCAATAAGTATGAACAACAAACTTTGAATCATGTCATGTGCTCTCAACATCTTCCAACAATCCACAACAGCAGAAAATCAGCAAATGGCCTATGAGGATGTTCAGGATGACTCATAAGGAATCTGTCTCTCTCACCAGGAATGTCAAATTCTAAGGATTTAGAAAGCAGGGTAGGGTATGTGGTGTCTCCACAGGTGTCCCCGGGGGTAACAGCTAGGTACAAGGCTGTACATGGTGTCCCCGGGGGCAACAGCTAGGTATGAGGCTGTACATGGCGTCCCCAGGGGTAACAGCTAGGTATGAGGCTGTACATGGTGTCCCCGGGGGTAACAGCTAGGTACAAGGCTGTACATGGTGTCCCTCGGGGCAACAGCTAGGTACAAGGCTGTACATGGTGTCCCCGGGGGTAACAGCTAGGTATGAGGTTGTACATGGTGTCCCCGGGGGTAACAGCTAGGTACAAGGCTGTACATGGTGTCCCTGGGGGCAACAGCTAGGTATGAGGTTGTACGTGGTGTCCTCAGGGGTAACAGCTAGGTGCAAGGCTGTAGATGGTGTCCCCGGGGGGTAACAGCTAGGTATGAGGTTGTACGTGGGGTCCCCAGGGGTAACTGCTAGGTATGAGGTTGTACGTGGGGTCCCCAGGGGTAACTGCTAGGTATGAGGTTGTACGTGGTGTCCCCGGGGGGTAACAGCTAGGTATGAGGCTGTACATGGTGTCCCCGGGGGTAACAGCTAGGTATGAGGCTGTACATGGTGTCCCCGGGGGCAACAGCTAGGTATGAGGTTGTACGTGGCGTCCCCAGGGGTAACAGCTAGGTGCAAGGCTGTAGATGGTGTCCCTGGGGGGTAACAGCTAGGTATGAGGTTGTACATGGTGTCCCCGGGGGTAACAGCTAGGTATGAGGTTGTACATGGTGTCCCCGGGGGCTAACAGCTAGGTACAAGGCTGTACATGGTGTCCCCGGGGGGTAACAGCTAGGAATGAGGTTGTACGTGGTGTCCCCAGGGGTAACAGCTAGGTGCAAGGCTGTAGATGGTGTCCCTGGGGGGTAACAGCTAGGTATGAGGTTGTACGTGGCATCCCCAGGGGTAACAGCTAGGTATGAGGTTGTACGTGGTGTCCCCGGGGGGTAACAGCTAGGTATGAGGTTGTACATGGTGTCCCCGGGGGCTAACAGCTAGGTACAAGGCTGTACATGGTGTCCCCGGGGGGTAACAGCTAGGTATGAGGCTGTACATGGTGTCCCCGGGGGGTAACAGCTAGGAATGAGGTTGTACGTGGTGTCCCCAGGGGTAACAGCTAGGTATGAGGTTGTACATGGTGTCCCCGGGGGGTAACAGCTAGGTATGAGGTTGTACGTGGTGTCCCTGGGGGCAACAGCTAAGTATGAGGTTGTACGTGGTGTCCCCAGGGGTAACAGCTAGGTACGAGGTTGTACATGGTGTCCCCCGGGGGTAACAGCTAGGTACAAGGCTGTACATGGTGTCCCCAGGGGTAACAGCTAGGTATGAGGTTGTACATGGTGTCCCCAGGGGTAACAGCTAGGTGCAAGGCTGTACATGGTGTCCCCGGGGGGTAACAGCTAGGTATGAGGCTGTACATGGTGTCCCTGGGGGTAACAGCTAGGTATGAGGTTGTACATGGTGTCCCCGGGGGGTAACAGCTAGGTATGAGGTTGTACGTGGTGTCCCCAGGGGTAACAGCTAGGTGCAAGGCTGTACATGGTGTCCCCGGGGGGTAACAGCTAGGTATGAGGCTGTACATGGTGTCCCCGGGGGGTAACAGCTAGGTATGAGGCTGTACATGGTGTCCCCGGGGGCAACAGCTAGGTATGAGGTTGTACGTGGCGTCCCCAGGGGTAACAGCTAGGTGCAAGGCTGTAGATGGTGTCCCTGGGGGGTAACAGCTAGGTATGAGGTTGTACGTGGCATCCCCAGGGGTAACAGCTAGGTATGAGGTTGTACGTGGTGTCCCCGGGGGGTAACAGCTAGGTATGAGGTTGTACATGGTGTCCCCGGGGGATAACAGCTAGGTACAAGGCTGTACATGGTGTCCCCGGGGGGTAACAGCTAGGTATGAGGCTGTACAGGGTGTCCCCGGGGGGTAACAGCTAGGAATGAGGTTGTACGTGGTGTCCCTGGGGGCAACAGCTAAGTATGAGGTTGTACGTGGTGTCCCCAGGGGTAACAGCTAGGTATGAGGTTGTACATGGTGTCCCTCGGGGGTAACAGCTAGGTACAAGGCTGTACATGGTGTCCCCAGGGGTAACAGCTAGGTATGAGGTTGTACATGGTGTCCCCAGGGGTAACAGCTAGGTATGAGGTTGTACATGGTGTCCCCAGGGGTAACAGCTAGGTGCAAGGCTGTACATGGTGTCCCCGGGGGGTAACAGCTAGGTATGAGGCTGTACATGGTGTCCCCGGGGGGTAACAGCTAGGTATGAGGTTGTACGTGGTGTCCCCAGGGGTAACAGCTAGGTGCAAGGCTGTACATGGTGTCCCCGGGGGGTAACAGCTAGGTATGAGGCTGTACATGGTGTCCCCGGGGGGTAACAGCTAGGTATGAGGCTGTACATGGTGTCCCCGGGGGCAACAGCTAGGTATGAGGTTGTACGTGGCGTCCCCAGGGGTAACAGCTAGGTGCAAGGCTGTAGATGGTGTCCCTGGGGGGTAACAGCTAGGTATGAGGTTGTACGTGGCATCCCCAGGGGTAACAGCTAGGTATGAGGTTGTACGTGGTGTCCCCGGGGGGTAACAGCTAGGTATGAGGTTGTACATGGTGTCCCCGGGGGATAACAGCTAGGTACAAGGCTGTACATGGTGTCCCCGGGGGGTAACAGCTAGGTATGAGGCTGTACAGGGTGTCCCCGGGGGGTAACAGCTAGGAATGAGGTTGTACGTGGTGTCCCTGGGGGCAACAGCTAAGTATGAGGTTGTACGTGGTGTCCCCAGGGGTAACAGCTAGGTATGAGGTTGTACATGGTGTCCCTCGGGGGTAACAGCTAGGTACAAGGCTGTACATGGTGTCCCCAGGGGTAACAGCTAGGTATGAGGTTGTACATGGTGTCCCCAGGGGTAACAGCTAGGTATGAGGTTGTACATGGTGTCCCCAGGGGTAACAGCTAGGTGCAAGGCTGTACATGGTGTCCCCGGGGGGTAACAGCTAGGTATGAGGCTGTACATGGTGTCCCTGGGGGTAACAGCTAGGTATGAGGTTGTACATGGTGTCCCCGGGGGGTAACAGCTAGGTATGAGGTTGTACGTGGTGTCCCAGGGAGCAACAGCTAGGTATGAGGTTGTACATGGTGTCCCCGGGTGCAACAGCTAGGTATGAGGTTGTACGTAGTGTCCCTGGGGGGTAACAGCTAGGTGCAAGGCTGTACATGGTGTCCCCGGGGGGTAACAGCTAGGTATGAGGCTGTACATGGTGTCCCCGGGGGGTAACAGCTAGGTATGAGGCTGTACATGGTGTCCCCGGGGGGTAACAGCTAGGTATGAGGTTGTACATGGTGTCCCCAGGGGGTAACAGCTAGGTATGAGGTTGTACGTGGTGTCCCCGGGGGTAACAGCTAGGTATGAGGTTGTACGTGGTGTCCCCGGGGGGTAACAGCTAGGTTTGAGGTTGTACATGGTGTCCCGGGGGTAACAGCTAGGTATGAGGTTGTACGTGGTGTCCCCGGGGGTAACAGCTAGGTACAAGGCTGTACATGGTGTCCCCGGGGGTAACAGCTAGGTATGAGGTTGTACATGGTGTCCCCGGGGGGGTAACAGCTAGGTATGAGGTTGTACATGGTGTCCCTGGGGGGGTAACAGCTAGGTATGAGGTTGTACATGGTGTCCCCGGGGGGTAACAGCTAGGTATGAGGTTGTACATGGTGTCCCCGGGGGGGGGGTAACAGATAGGTATGAGGCTGTACGTGGTGTCCCCAGGGGGTAACAGCTAGGTATGAGGTTGTACGTGGTGTCCCCGGGGGGTAACAGCTAGGTATAAGGCTGTACGTGGTGTCCCCAGGGGGTAACAGCTAGGTATGAGGTTGTACATGGTGTCCCCGGGGGGTAACAGCTAGGTACAAGGCCGTACGTGGTGTCCCCAGGGGGTAACAGCTAGGTATGAGGTTGTACATGGTGTCCCCGGGGGGTAACAGCTAGGTATGAGGTTGTACATGGTGTCCCCGGGGGGTAACAGCTAGGTATGAGGTTGTACATGGTGTCCCCTGGGGGTAACAGCTAGGTACGAGGCTGTACGTGGTGTCCCCAGGGGGTAACAGATATGTAGGAGGCTGTATGTGGTTGCCTGGGGGGTAACAGCGAGGTATGAGGCTGTATGTGGTGTCCCCAGGGAGTAACAGATATGTAGGAGGCTGTATGTGGTTGCCTGGGGGGTAACAGGTAGTTAAAAGGTTGACATGGTGTCCTCAGGGGGGTGAGAAATGAATGTGGCGACCGTATGCATACTGACCAGTCCTCCTGCTGCACATGCTGCAACGACTGCGTACTGTCCGTCCTCCGCCTCCAGACGATTGGCTGCTGTTGTGACCAGCCTTACCCCAGTCGCTCCGAACGGATGTCCCAGGGACAGCGAACCACCCCACAGATTCAGCTTCTCCATGGGCGGGGCTCCATACTGCACACATCACAAGCAGTGTCAACTACAAGCTCATGGTCGGAAACAATAATCAACTGAGAACTGATATCTGGCCCTTAACATTGCAACGCTCCACTTTACCTGTGAAACAATCGTATCGACATGGTGGAGGAAATGAGTAAATAAATTCATAAATGTTCTCAACAGCAGCCAACCAGAAAACCCGACTTGACATGTTTAACAAGCTTCAATCTATATAAAAACATTACTTGCTGCATCCTGACTCACAACCAATTGTTCACCTTTGCTGATCTGTTCATGTACGACTTGCAGAAGAAGTCCGAGTCCAGAGCCTTGAGGTTTGCCATAATCTGGCCCTGGAAGTAGGGTGCAACTCATATAGGAAGGTACAACTCATATAGGGAGGTACAACTCATATAGAGAGGTACAACTCATATAGGGAGGTACAACTCATATAGGGAGGTACAACTCATATAGGGAGGAACTACTCATATAGAGAGGTACAACTGGTATAGGGAGGTACAACTCATATAGGGAGGTACAACTCATATAGGGAGGGACTACTCATATAGGGAGGTACAACTCATATAGGGAGGGACTACTCATATAGGAAGGTACAACTCATATAGGGAGGTACAACTCATATAGGGAGGGACTACTCATATAGGGAGGTACAACTCATATAGGGAGGGACTACTCATATAGGGAGGTACTACTCATATAGGGAGGTACAACTCATATAGGGAGGTGCAACTCATATAGGAAGGTACAACTCATATAGGGAGGTACAACTCATATAGGGAGGTGCAACTCATATAGGGAGGTACAACTCATATAGGGAGGTACAACTCATATAGGGAGGTACAACTCATATAGGGAGGTGCAACTCATATAGGAAGGTACAACTCATATAGGGAGGTACAACTCATACAGGGAGGTGCAACTCATACAGGGAGGTACAACTCATATAGGGAGGTACAACTCATATAGGGAGGTACTACTCATATAGGGAGGTACAACTCATATAGGGAGGTGCAACTCATATAGGAAGGTACAACTGGTATAGGGAGGTACAACTCATATAGGGAGGTACAACTCATACAGGGAGGTACAACTCATACAGGGAGGTACAACTCATATAGGGAGGTACAACTCATATAGGGAGGTACTACTCATATAGGGAGGTACAACTCATATAGGGAGGTGCAACTCATATAGGAAGGTACAACTGGTATAGGGAGGTACAACTCATATAGGGAGGTACAACTCATATAGGGAGGTGCAACTCATATAGGAAGGTACAACTCATATAGGGAGGTACAACTCATATAGGGAGGTGCAACTCATATAGGAAGGTACAACTCATATAGGGAGGTACAACTCATATAGGGAGGTACAACTCATATAGGGAGGTACAACTCATATAGGAAGGTACAACTCATATAGTAAGGTACAACTCATATAGGAAGGTACAACTCATATAGGGAGGTACAACTCATATAGGGAGGTACAACTCATATAGGGAGGTAAAACTCATATAGGGAGGGACTACTCATATAGAGAGGTACAACTCATATAGAGAGGTACAACTCATATAGGGAGGTACAACTCATATAGGGAGGAACTACTCATATAGAGAGGTACAACTCATATAGAGAGGTACAACTCATATAGGAAGGTACAACTCATATAGGAAGGTACAACTCATATAGGGAGGTACAACTCATATAGGGAGGTACAACTCATATAGGGAGGGACTACTCATATAGAGAGGTACAACTCATATAGCGAGGTACAACTCATATAGGGAGGTACAACTCATATAGGGAGGTACAACTCATATAGGGAGGTACAACTCATACAGGGAGGTACAACTCATATAGGGAGGTACAACTCATATAGAGAGGTACAACTCATATAGAGAGGTACAACTCATATAGGGAGGTACAACTCATATAGGGAGGTACAACTCATACAGGGAGGTACAACTCATATAGAGAGGTACAACTCATATAGAGAGGTACAACTCATATAGAGAGGTACAACTCATATAGGGAGGTACAACTCATATAGGGAGGTACAACTCATATAGAGAGGTACAACTCATACAGGGAGGTACAACTCATATAGGGAGGTACAACTCATATAGGGACGGACTACTCATATAGGGAGGTACAACTCATATAGGGACGGACTACTCATATAGAGGTACAACTCATATAGGGAGGTACAACTCATATAGGAAGGTACAACTCATATAGGGAGGTACAACTCATATAGAGAGGTACAACTGGTATAGGGAGGTACAACTCATATAGGGAGGTACAACTCATATAGGGAGGTACAACTCATACAGGGAGGTACAACTCATATAGGAAGGTACAACTGATATAGGAAGGTACAACTCATATAGGGAGGTACAACTCATATAGGGAGGTACAACTCATATAGGAAGGTACAACTCATATAGGGAGGTACAACTCATACAGGGAGGTACAACTCATATAGGGAGGTACAACTCATACAGGGAGGTACAACTCATACAGGGAGGTACAACTCATATAGGGAGGGACTACTCATATAGAGAGGTACAACTCATATAGAGAGGTACAACTCATATAGGGAGGTACAACTCATATAGGGAGGTACAACTCATATAGAGAGGTACAACTCATACAGGGAGGTACAACTCATATAGGGAGGTACAACTCATACAGGGAGGTACAACTCATATAGGGAGGTACAACTCATATAGGGAGGGACTACTCATATAGAGAGGTACAACTCATACAGGGAGGTACAACTCATATAGGGAGGTACAACTCATATAGGGAGGTACAACTAATTTGGAGAGGTAAAACTCATACAGGGAGGTACAACTCATATAGGGAGGTACAACTCATACAGGGAGGTACAACTCATATAGGGAGGTACAACTCATATAGGGAGGGACTACTCATATAGAGAGGTACAACTCATACAGGGAGGTACAACTCATATAGGGAGGTACAACTCATACAGGGAGGTACAACTCATATAGGGAGGTACAACTGATATAGAGAGGTACAACTGGTATAGGGAGGTACAACTCATATAGGAAGGTACAACTCATATAGGGAGGTACAACTCATATAGGGAGGTACTACTCATATAGGGAGGTACAACTCATATAGAGAGGTACAACTGGTATAGGGAGGTACAACTCATATATGGAGGTACAACTCATATAGGGAGGTACAACTGGTATAGGGAGGTACAACTCCCTCCATATGAGTGGTGACATGCAAGTGGCCTCCATGTGAGTGGTGACATGCAAGTGGCCTCCATGTGAGTGGCAGCATGTGAGTGGCCTCCATGTGAGTGGTGACATGCAAGTGGCCTCCATGTGAGTGGCAGCATGTGAGTGGCCTCCATATGAGTGGTGACATGCAAGAGGCCTCCATGTGAGTGGTAGCATGCAAGTGGCCTCCATGTGAGTGGTAGCATGCAAGAGGCCTCCATGTGAGTGGCCTCCATGTGAGTGGTAGCATGCAAGTGGCCTCCATGTGAGTGGTAGCATGCAAGAGGCCTCCATGTGAGTGGCCTCCATGTGAGTGGTAGCATGCAAGTGGCCTCCATGTGAGTGGTTACATGCAAGTGGCCTCCATGTGAGTTGCCTCCATATGAGTGGTGACATGCAAGTGGCCTCCATGTGAGTGGCCTCAGTATGAGTGGTGACATGCAAGTGGCCTCCATGTGAGTGGCCTCAGTATGAGTTGTGACATGCAAGTGGCCTCCATGTGAGTGGCCTCAGTATGAGTTGTGACATGCAAGTGGCCTCCATGTGACTGGCCTCAGTATGAGTGGTGACATGCAAGTGGCCTCCATGTGAGTGGCCTCAGTATGAGTTGTGACATGCAAGTGGCCTCCATGTGAGTGGCGGAATGTGAGTGGCCTCAGTATGAGTGGTGACAAGCAAGTGGCAGCATGTGAGTGGCCCCCATATGAGTTGTGACATGCAAGTGGCCTCAATGTGAGTGGTGACATGCAAGTGGCCTCAATGTGAGTGGCATCATGTGAGTGGCCTCAATGTGAATAGTGGCATGTATGTGGCGGCATGTGAATTGTGACATGTATGTGGCCTCCATATGAGTGATGACATGCGAGTGGTGATGTGAGTCATGACATGTGAGTGTGACGTTAGTGATGACATGTCAGTGGTGATGTGAATGATGACATGTAAGTGTGACGTGAGTCATGACATGTCAGTGGTGATGTGAGTCATGACATGTCAGTGTGATGTTAGTGATGACATGTAAGTGGTGATGTGAGTGATGACATGTAAGAGGTGATATGAGTCAAGACATGTGAGTGTGACTTGAGTGATGACATGTCAGTGGTGATGTGAGTCATGACATGTGAGTGTGACGTTAGTGATGACATGTAAGTGGTGATGTGAGCGATGACATGTAAGAGGTGATATGAGTCATGACATGTGAGTGTGACTTGAGTGATGACATGTCAGTGGTGATGTGAGTCATGACATGTGAGTGTGACGTTAGTGATGACATGTAAGTGGTGATGTGAGTGATGACATGTAAGAGGTGATGTGAGTCATGACATGTGAGTGTGACGTTAGTGATGACATGTAAGTGGTGATGTGAGTGATGACATGTAAGAGGTGATATGAGTCATGACATGTCAGTGTGACGTGAGTGATGACATGTGAGTGTGATATGAGTGATGACATGTGAGTGTGACGTGAGTGATGACATGTAAGAGGTGATGTGAGTCATGACATGTGAGTGTGATATGAGTGATGACATGTGAGTGTGACGTGAGTGATGACATGTAAGAGGTGATATGAGTCATGACATGTGAGTGTGACGTGAGTGATGACATGTGAGTGGTGATGTGAGTCATGACATGTAAGTGTGACGTGAGTCATGACATGTGAGTGGTCATGTGAGTCATGACATGTGAGTGGTGATGTGAGTGATGACATGTGAGTGGTGATTTGTGTGATGACATGTGAGTGGTGATTTGTGTGATGACATGTAAGTGTGACGTGAGTGTGACATGAGTGATGACATGAGAGTGCCCTCTATGGCTGTTTGTGACTTTAGGAGACATACTGCGAATGCTTCATGGTACTCGAACACACTGATGTCAGACATGGCGAGGCCAGCCTTCTCCACAATTCTTGGTGTGGCATATGCTGGACTGTGAAGAAAGGAAACACAGAGGTTCAACAAGGACCCCAACATACAAGACGACAACGAGTGACTGTGCTGTCATGGTCCAATCCTTGAAACTTGTGACAAAAGTCTGTCATGCATGAGTGAGGACGGAAACAAGTGCTTATCAAATTCAATGGAAGCATCATATAGTTACCTACACACTTCAATTTCTTTAGCTTAATGAAACAAATGACATGACCAGCACATACTAACAGACCTATACAAACAACACGTGTGACCTACCCTGTCAACACATGTGACCTACCCTGACAACACATGTGACCTACCCTGACAACACATGTGACCTACCCTGACAACACATGACTTACCCTGGCATCATGTGACCTACCCCAGCACCATGTGACCTATCCCAGCAGCATGTGTGTGACCTATCCCAGCAGCGTGTGTGACCTATCCTAGCGGCATGTGACCTACCCCAGCACCATGTGACCTATCCCAGCAGCGAGTGTGGGACCTATCCCAGCAACGAGTGTGTGACATATCCGAGCAGCGTGTGACCTACCCCAGAGTGTGTGACCTATCCCAGCAGCGAGTGTGTGACCTATCCCAGCAGTGTGTGTGACCTATCCTTGCAGACTGTGACCTACCCCAGCAGCAGGTGACCTACCCCAGAGTGTGTGACCTATCCCAGCAGCATGTGTGACCTATCCCAGCAGCGTGTGTGTAACCTATCCCAGCAGCGTGTGTGTGACCTATCCCAGCAGCGTGTGTGTGACCTATCCCAGCAGTGTGTGTGACCTACCCCAGCAGCAGGTGACCTACGCCAGAGTGTGTGACCTATCCCAGCAGCGTGTGTGACCTATCCCTGCAGCATGTGACCTACCCCAGCAGCAGGTAACCTACCCCAGAGTGTGTGACCTATCCCAGCAGCGTGTGTGACCTATCCCAGCAGCGTGTGTGACCTATCCCAGCAGCGTGTGTGACCTATCCCTGCAGCGTGTGTGTCCTATCCGAGCAGCGTGTGACCTACCCCAGAGTGTGTGACCTACCCCTGCAGCGTGTGACCTACCCCAGCAGCAGTTGGTCCTTGGGGTCCTGTGCCACATACAGGTAGTCGCGGAGGTATGCCTTGGGCTTTAGGCCCAGCTCCAGGGCCTTCTCCTCGGACATGATGAGACAGGCAGAGGCTCCGTCAGTCTGTGGGGCAGAGAAGGTCATCATTATCAGCCTCCTTCTTTGAGCGGCATTTCAGACGTTGGTGCCGGAACAACTATGTGTGTATCAACTTCTAAAGACAGTGGGTGCATGTTGTTTATGTCACAGTCATATAAACAAGCTGACCTGAGGTTGCTGGCGTGACCAACAATCTGCAGTTGGGGTACAATGGCATGTGTCAGCTGAAACACTGATCCTCAGCCCTGCATAGGAGACAGGGTTAGCTTGAGCTGAATCCCCATAAGAGACAGGGTTAGCTTTAGCTAAATCCCCATAGGAGACAGGGTTAGCTTTAGCTGAATCCCCATAAGAGACAGGGTTAGCTTTAGCCGAATTCCCATAGGAGACAGGGTTAGCTTTAGCCGAATCCCCATAGGAGACAGGTTATCTTCACCCGAATCCCCATGGGGTACTGGGGTTATTTTTATCTGAATCCACATTGGGAACTTGGGGTATCTTCAGCTGAATCCCCATGGAGTACTGGGGTTATCTTTATCTGAATCCCTATCCCTATGGGGTACTGGGGTTTATCTTTAGCATGTTTAGCTGAATCCCCATGGGGTACTGGGATTATCTTTATCTGAATCCCTATCCCTATGGGGTACTGGGGTTTATCTTTAGCATGTTTAGCTGAATCCCCATTGAGTACTGGGGTTTATCTTTAGCATGTTTAGCTGAATCCCCATGGGGTACTGGGGTTATCTTTATCTGAATCCCTATCCCTATGGGGTACTGGGGTTTATATTTAGCATGCTTAGCTGAATCCCCATGGGGTACTGGGGTTATCTTTATCTGAATCCCTATCCCTATGGGGTACTGGGGTTTATCTTTAGCATGTTTAGCTGAATCCCCATGGGGTACTGGGGTTATCTTTATCCCTATCCCTATGGGGTACTGGGGTTTATCTTTAGCATGTTTAGCTGAATCCCCATTGAGTACTGGGGTTTATATTTAGCATGTTTAGCTGAATCCCCATGGGGTACTGGGGTTATCTTTATCTTTATCCCTATCCCTATGGGGTACTGGGGTTTATCTTCAGCATGTTTAGCTGAATCCCCATTGAGTACTGGGGTTTATCTTTAGCATGTTTAGCTGAATCCCCATGGGGTACTGGGGTTATCTTTATCTGAATCCCTATCCCTATGGGGTACTGGGGTTTATCTTTAGCATGTTTAGCTGAATCCCCATGGGGTACTGGGGTTATCTTTATCCCTATCCCTATGGGGTACTGGGGTTTATCTTTAGCATGTTTAGCTGAATCCCCATTGAGTACTGGGGTTTATCTTTAGCATGTTTAGCTGAATCCCCATGGGGTACTGGGGTTATCTTTATCTGAATCCCTATCCCTATGGGGTACTGGGGTTTATCTTCAGCATGTTTAGCTGAATCCCCATTGAGTACTGGGGTTTATCTTTAGCATGTTTAGCTGAATCCCCATGGGGTACTGGGGTTATCTTTATCTGAATCCCTATCCCTATGGGGTACTGGGGTTTATCTTTAGCATGTTTAGCTGAATCCCCATGGGGTATTGGGCTTATCTTTAGGATGCTTAGCTAAAACCCCACGGGGTACTTGAGTTATTTATAGCCAAATCCCAAAGGGATACTGGGGTTATCAGTCTAACATACTTTTTGATCTATTCATTTCCTCCTCTATTCTGTAGCGCGTGGATGACATGAACTTGAGGCTTAATTTGATATGACCATATTTCTGCAACTATAAGGGTAATAGTGATAGCAAGTCCTCTTGATGTCAGATCATTTCTAGATAAAGTGTACTTATTTATGACCACATAGGACACAGACAGCTTACCAGAAACGAAGCGTTGGCGGCCGTGATCGTGCCATGTGGCTTGACGAAGGCGGCCCGGAGTTTCCCCATGGCCTGCATGGACGACGGACGGATGCCATTGTCCTTGTCTACCGGAGCAGCAACACCTGCGTGGGGACACAGCATAATGTTTACAAACCCCAACATCATCAGCAATCCCTGGCCAGGCCTCAATTTTGCAACTGATTTGGTCCCTATAGCAATCTACTTTTGTTTTCTGTGATCAGTATTTTCATGTCAGTCGCCAGTATGTACCTGGTCATAACTCAAGTTTGCGATTAAAATAGTTTTGGTAATAAAATCAACAATGTGATCGAAGCGACAGTACAAATTATCTATATTTTGTAACAATCTCGTCTGGTAAAATGAGCTTCACATATTGATCGAAGGAAGTGCTGATAGGTTATTAGTCACAGTGCTAGTAATGTCAGGTGTTCACCAGGCTGTGGGAAGTGTAGGTTCATGCATGTGGTGTACCTATCTTCTGGAAAGGAAAATAAAACACGGTGGCCGATACAGGGAAAGTGTTTTTCAACTTTGCCCACCTGAAACACCAACAAAGTGCCCAAGAGAATCAGATAATGAATCAGATTGCCTGCCCCACCTATTCAAGGTTTCATGACTCGCAGGGGAAAGGATGGTTTGGCTGAGTACATTAACAAAAATTTCGTCTGCTAGTTCTGAATGTGCTCCGTCGTCTGCTAGTTCTGAATGTGCTCCGTCGTCAGCTAGTTCTGAATGTGCTCCGTCGTCTGCTAGTTCTGAATGTGCTCCGTCGTCTGCTAGTTCTGAATGTGCTCCGTCGTCTGCTAGTTCTGAATGTGCTCTGTCGTCTGCTAGTTCTGAATGTGCTCCGTCGTCTGCTACCGTATTTTCTTGAGTATAGAGTGCACTTTTTTTCGAAAAAAACACAGCTGTGTAGAAGGGGGTGCGCATTATACACGAATTATGAGTTTGGATGTTTTTTTCCCCCATGGAAAGACATTACCGTGAGCACGAAACACCATGTCAACAAATCCATACACTACGCAAAATAATTATGTAATTACACTGTCTGGCTATAAAAAGTGTTCTTTGTATATCTGGACTTATGTTTGTAACTTATTTCATTGATTTTATTCAAAATTCCTTATAATATTGTTTTTATTAATTTCGGCGAAATCGTGTGTGAAGCGATCGGAAGATCGCACAACTCACCGTTATTAACAGCAACCACGGTCAGAATACCGCTATTGACGCCTTGAAACAAACTTTAGTTGACAGAGAATGGATACATATATCATAAATGACATACTTTGACTCGTTAAAAGTCATATTTGTTTTTGTTTGACGATTCTATGTCAACATGAAATTCTCGCGATCACGTGATCATGTGCGCGTGAGCCTTGACGGTGACTGGTCAGACATGTTCTATGTAAAAAATAATACCTGGGAATAGCGATCAGCTGCTTCGCTTAGGGTTATTATTATTTTAAATATGTTTATTATAGGTTGCATATAATTAAGAAAATAATGGAATATATTATTCCTGATAAATAAAATAGTTTCAGATACAATTGTTGCCGATCCTTGCATTAAAAATCTTATAAAGTTATATCATTGGGTGTGTCTTGACCGAATCACCGGTCGATTCCAAGAAAACGTGTGTACAGCTGATTGCTGTTTCCAGCTTAGTTTACGAGAAAAAACGCAAGGTAATCTTAATCCCTAAATATAAAACAATGCCTAGCCGAACAATAAATACTATTTAAACGGTAAATAAACATGTCTGGTGATTTTTTATCTCAAATTTCGAATTTGTACTGACGAAGTTTCTCAGCACCCGTTCGTTTGCCGGACTTCGCTGAAAGGGTACGGTGTAAAAGAATTCTGCGCATAATATTCAAATTTCTTTTTTTTCCAAAATATTGAACCCGCTAGAGGGGGGTGCGCATTATACATGGGTGCGCACTATACTCAAGAAAATACGGTAGTTCTGAATGTGCTCCGTCGTCTGCTAGTTCTGAATGTGCTCCATCGTCTGCTAGTTCTGAATGTGCTCCATCGTCTGCTAGTTCTGAATGTGCTCCGTCGTCTGCTAGTTCTGAATGTGCTCCGTTGTCTGCTAGTTCTGAATGTGCTCCGTCGTCTGCTTAATTAAACTGGTTTCACTGTTGGTATTACTGATCTGAGTACTAAGTGAACTTCCGGACCATAAATACATGAATATCACAACCAAATTCTCTCATAACGTTTCATTCTGAGAATGTACAGTGACAAATATCATTGTCATTGTTTTCAGCGTCATGCCTCTCTTATTGTTCATAAGACGGTAAGTGCATGGTAAGGCTTTTTTTCAATATGCTTAAACATAGGGAAAGGGTCAGACATTGCACGCTATGCTTAATGCATATTACTGCTTGTTCTTGACAGAAAAGAGCTGTGTGAAGGTCTTTCCTTGAAGAAGTTGTTCCAACTAGCTGAGAGGCCAACCCTGTCACACAGCTCCCACGTGACCAAAGGAAGTGATGTCACGGATCCTCACATTACTCTGGAGTCCGGACATCGGAAGGCATCGTGGGGAGGTAGATCTGCGATGGGTGGGTCACTTTAGACGCAGTAATGCAGGATAAGTATACAAATATAAAAAATATCTAGGATTTTACTAGATTTTTTACTTATCCTGCATTACTCCTTAATGAATCTTTATCCGACAGAATCGGTGGAGGACATACCTTCAGATGTGGACTTTCATATCAGATCTCTGTTTCCTCAGCCAGTCCTTGGCTGTGTCACAGGTCAACTTCGAGTGACCAATCCATGTATGGGAACCTCCGTTCCCCTCAGCCCGTCCTCGGCTGTATGGTCGGCATCAATGACCATTTCATGGATGGGAACCAAGAGTCAGGTATGCGGTGTGTCCAGGTACTACGCAGCCATAGACGTTAACCATCTCAAGTTAAAGCTGTAGTCTGGTGTACCGAGCCGTATGCAAGTGGGGCATGAACCTTCTAGTCAAGAGCATTTAAGCCAGGGGAGGTCGAGAGGCCAGATCTGGACTGGAGGCAAGGTCAGTGGCGTTTAGTAGTGGTGACCTGTTCAGCCACTACTAATGGACCAAAACTGTGTGTTCCTTGCACATCCTCCAGTGCAACATCTCTCAGGTAGTGACTGGCGAGGATTGTGTTTGATCGTCAGAAACACCCCTCCATGATGGTACGTAGAGAGCAGTTGCTGTGTAGCGCCATGGTGGAGGCGACTGCCCGGATCTCATGCAGGATGTTGGAGCGTGGCGGGTCCAATCCCGCTGCCTTGTAGGCCTGGAGAATGATGGCTCGCAGCAAGAGGACGATTGTGTTGCAGCTGATTTCCGCTCGCTAGGTCATATATACTGGTATGAAGAGGCGTCGTCGTTGTCTGCGGCATTCCTCGGATTGTCTGATGGGCAACAGAGTGCTCTAACAAGACATAGATGAAGGTCCTGTTCATCTTCCTAGCCCACAGTCAAAATTAGAGGAGGGATGAGGAACAATCTATCTGGCTGTCCTGGGAGTTGATTCTTGGCAATGAAGTCGCAGCATAGTCCCAGATACAAGGCTCCATGTGCTCCATGCTCAAAGCGGACATGCAAGATGTCCAATTGTAGTGGGGGAATTCTTGGAGAGGCCAGACATCTTAAGATAGCCTGTTGTGATCTCCGTTTTCTGGACACACAGAGGTACTGTCTGAAAGCTTTGGGGGAAAGCGGGGGACAGTCTTTACAGTGTGAACCCTGGAGGCATTGGGATGTACACTTAAGGCACAGGGAGTGGGGATCCCATGCCGGCACTTTGAGCAGGAGGGCATGATATCTGCAATGAAGCAGTGTAAAATCACAATGCGTCCTTGCCCGATCATGTATGCTATAGTACCAATAGTAGATTAAAATGTATCAATAGAACTGATTATATTCCAGTAAACCTTTGTGTTGTTTGGTGAATCAGGACTTCATTTCATTTATCAATTATAAAGTTGGCTCCCTACACATTTTCTTGGCTCCTTAAAATACTACTTTGCTCCTTTAAAAAAATCTTAAGGCGCCAAGTGGCTCTCTGGAAAACAAATTAACATCATCAGCAGCCCCAGGGGGTACGGAGACACAGCATGATAAAAAAGAGGACAAAATCATCAATATCCTTGATGCACCACCTACCCTGAACCTTGTAGGCCAGCTTGTCAGTGTCACCTAGCTGGAACCTTGTAGGCCAGCTTGTCAGTGTCACCTAGCTGGAACCTTGTAAGCCAGCATGTCAGTGTCACCTACCTGGAACCTTGTAGGCCAGCTTGTCAGTGTCACCTAGCTGGAACCTTGTAGGCCAGCATGTCAGTGTCACCTAGCTGGAACCTTGTAGGCCAGCTTGTCAGTGTCACCTAGCTGGAACCTTGTAGGCCAGCTTGTCAGTGTCACCTAGCTGGAACCTTGTAGGCCAGCTTGTCAGTGTCACCTAGCTGGAACCTTGTTGGCCAGCATGTCAGTGTCACCTAGCTGGAACCTTGTAGGCCAGCTTGTCAGTGTCACCTAGCTGGAACCTTGTAAGCCAGCTTGTCAGTGTCACCTTCCTGGAACCTTGTAGGCCAGCATGTCAGTGTCACCTACCTGGAACCTTGTAGGCCAGCTTGTCAGTGTCACCTACCTGGAACCTTGTAGGCCAGCTTGTCAGTGTCACCTACCTGGAACCTTGTAGGCCAGCTTGTCAGTGTCACCTAAGTGGAACTTTGTAGGCCAGCTTGTCAGTGTCACCTAGCTGGAACCTTGTAGGCCAGCATGTCAGTGTCACCTAGCTGGAACCTTGTAGGCCAGCATGTCAGTGTCACCTAGCTGAAACCTTGTAGGCCAGCATGTCAGTGTCACCTAAGTGGAACCTTGTAGGCCAGCTTGTCTGTGTCACCTAGCTGGAACCTTGTAGGCCAGCTTGTCAGTGTCACCTAAGTGGAACCTTGCAGGCCAGCTTGTCAGTGTCACCTAAGTGGAACCTTGTAGGCCAGCTTGTCAGTGTCACCTAAGTGGAACCGTGTAGGCCAGCTTGTCAGTGTCACCTAAGTGGAACCTTGTAGGCCAGCTTGTCTGTGTCACCTAAGTGGAACCTTGTAGGCCAGCTTTTCAGTGTCACCTAGCTGGAACCTTGTAGGCCAGCATGTCAGTGTCACCTAGCTGGAACCTTGTAGGCCAGCATGTCAGTGTCACCTAGCTGAAACCTTGTAGGCCAGCATGTCAGTGTCACCTAAGTGGAACCTTGTAGGACAGCTTGTCTGTGTCACCTAGCTGGAACCTTGTAGGCCAGCTTGTCAGTGTCACCTAAGTGGAACCTTGTAGGCCAGCTTGTCTGTGTCACCTAGCTGGAACCTTGTAGGCCAGCTTGTCAGTGTCACCTAAGTGGAACCTTGTAGGCCAGCTTGTCAGTGTCACCTAAGTGGAACCTTGTAGGCCAGCTTGTCTGTGTCACCTAGCTGGAACCTTGTAGGCCAGCTTGTCAGTGTCACCTAAGTGGAACCTTGTAGGCCAGCTTGTCAGTGTCACCTAAGTGGAACCTTGTAGGCCAGCTTGTCAGTGTCACCTAAGTGGAACCTTGTAGGCCAGCTTGTCTGTGTCACCTAAGTGGAACCTTGTAGGCCAGCTTTTCAGTGTCACCTAGCTGGAACCTTGTAGGCCAGCATGTCAGTGTCACCTAAGTGGAACCTTGTAGGCCAGCTTGTCAGTGTCACCTAAGTGGAACCTTGTAGGCCAGCTTGTCAGTGTCACCTAGCTGGAACCTTGTAGGCCAGCTTGTCAGTGTCACCTAAGTGGAACCTTGTAGGCCAGCATGTCAGTGTCACCTAAGTGGAACCTTGTAGGCCAGCTTGTCAGTGTCACCTAAGTGGAACCTTGTAGGCCAGCATGTCAGTGTCACCTAAGTGGAACCTTGTAGGCCAGCTTGTCAGTGTCACCTACCTGGAACCTTGTAGGCCAGCTTGTCTGTGTCACCTACCTGGAACCTTGTAGGCCAGCTTGTCAGTAAGCAGACCCTTGTCACTTGCAGTCTTGGCTAAAGTGTGAGACCTCACAGCAAACTCATCCTGAAAAGATGAATCAAACACATTTACATATGCTGATGTTGAACACCTAATGTTGATCTTTAAACAAGAGATGTGGGAACATACATTGATGCTGAACACCAGATGGGGGACATACGTTGATGCTAAACACCAGATGAGGGGGACGTATGTTGATGCTGAATACCAGATGGGGGGGACATACGTTGATGTTGAACACCAGATTTTGGAGGGAGGGAGGGGGGGAAAAGACATATGTCGATTCTGAACACCAGATGAGGGGGACATAAGGGGGACGCATGTTGATGTTGAACACCAGATGGGGGACATATGTTGATGTTGAACATGGGGTACCTGATAGGGGGACCTGTGTTGATCACCACACAGGAGACATACATTGATGCTTAACACCAGGTGACGGGGACGTATGTTGATGCTGAACACTAGATGGGGGGTCATACATTGATGCTGAACACCAGATGGGGGGGGGGGACATACATTGATGCTGAACACCAGATGGGGGGAAATACATTGAGGCTGAACACCAGATGAGGGGGACGTATGTTGATACTGAACACCACATGGGGGACATACATTGATGCTGAACACCACATGGGGGGGACATACATTGATGCCGAACACCAGATGGGGGGGACATACATTGATGCTGAACACCAGACGGGGGGAAATACATTGATGCTGAACACAAGATGGGGGGACATACATTGATGCTGAACACCAGATGGGGGGACGTATGTTGATGCTGAACACCACATGGGGGACGTATGTTGATGCTGAACACCAGATGGGGGGACATACATTGATGCTGAACACCAGATGGGGGGGACATACATTGATGCTGAACGCCAGATGGGGGGAAATACATTGATGCTGAACACCACATGGGGGGGGCGAACATTGATGCTGAACACCAGATGGGGGGGGCATACATTGATGCTGAACACCAGAAGGGGGGATATACATTGATGCTGAACACCAGATGGGGGGACATACATTGATGCTGAACACCAGATGGGGGATATACATTGATGCTGAACACCAGAAGGGGGGACATACATTGATGCTGAACACCAGATGGGGGGGACATACATTGATGCTGAACGCCAGATGGGGGGACATACATTGATGCAGAACACCAGATGGGGGGGTGTATGTTGATGCTGAACACCACATGGGGGACATACATTGATGCTGAACACCAGATGGGGGGACATACATTGATGCTGAACACCAGATGGGGCAAATACATTGATGCTGAACACCAGAAGGGGGGACGTACATTGATGCTGAACACCAGATGGGGGAACATACATTGATGCTGAACACCAGATGAAGAGGACATACATTGATGCTGAACACCACATAGGGGACATACATTGATGCTGAACACAAGATGGGGGGAAAAAAATTGCTGCTGCACCAGATGGGGGGGGGGGGGGGAAACATACATTGATGCTGAACACCAGATGGGGGGGGGGGGGGGGGACATACATTGATGCTGAACACCAGATGGGGGAACATACATTGATGCTGAACACCACATGGGGGACATACATTGATGCTGAACACCAGATAGGGGGACATACATTGATGCTGAACACCACATGGGGGGACATACATTGATACTGAACACCACATAGGGGACATACATTGATGCTGAACACCAGATGGGGGACATACATTGATGCTGAACACCAGATGGGGGGACATACATTGATGCTGAACACCAGATGGGGCAAATACATTGATGCTGAACACCAGATGGGGGGACAAACATTGATGCTGAACACCAGATGGGGGGGGGGGGGGGACATACATTGATGCTGAACACCAGATAGGGGGACATACATTGATGCTGAACACCAGATGGGGCAAATACATTGATGCTGAACACCAGATGGGGGGACGTACGTTGATGCTAAACACCAGATGGGGGGGGGGGGGGGACATACATTGATGCTGAACACCAGATGGGGGACACTACCCACTTCCAACACTACCCACTTCCAGCACTACCCACTTACAGCACTACCCACTTCCAGCACTACCCACTTCCAAAAATACCCACTTCCAAAAGTACCCATTTCCAGCACTACATACTTCCAACACTACCCACTTCCAACACTACCCACTTCCAGCACTACCCACTTCCAGCACTACCCACTTCCAGCACTACCCACTTCCAGCACTACATACTTCCAGCACTACACACTTCCAGCACTACCCACTTCCAACACTACACACTTCCAGCACTACACACTTCCAGCACTACCCACTTCCAGCACTACCCACTTCCAGCACTACCCACTTCCTGCACTACCCACTTCCAACACTACCCACTTCCAACACTACCCACTTCCAGCACTACCCACTTACAGCACTACCCACTTCCAACACTACCCACTTCCAAAACTACCTACTTCCAACACTACCCACTTCCAGCACTACCCACTTCCAAAACTACCCACTTCCAAAACTACCCACTTCCAAAACTACCTATTTCCAGCACTACCCACTTCCAGCACTACCCACTTCCAGCACTACCCACTTCCAGCACTACACACTTCCAGCACTACCCACTTCCACACTTCCAGCACTACGCACCTGTTCTTGTCTGGTGATTCCGAAGGCTGCACACAGTCTGTCTGCCGAGTGACCCATGGTCTCCCCTGTGGAGAATTCTGCTACTGCCGGCAACTGCAACATCAATCTCAATAAGTACTGTGTGCATACAACCTGTACAATGGGATAAACTCAGGATACAGTTCACTGCTGGTAACTACTGGTCTTAGGATGATGCTTTAGATACAAGCACCCACCTTCACTTGCAGTACCTACCTCTGGAGTGAGAGCTAAAGAGCTATGGTGCCTACCTCTGGTGTGAGAGCTAAAGAGTTGTGGTGCCTACCTCTGGTGTGAGAGCTAAAGAGCTGTGGTGCCTACCTCTGGTGTGAGAGCTAAAGAGCTGTGGTGCCTACCTCTGGTGTGAGAGCTAAAGAGCTGTGGTGCCTACCTCTGGTGTGAGAGCTAAAGAGCTGTGGTGCCTACCTCTGGTGTGAGAGCTAAAGAGCTGTGGTGCCTACCTCTGGTGTGAGAGCTAAAGAGTTGTGGTGCCTACCTCTGGTGTGAGAGCTAAAGAGTTGTGGTGCCTACCTCTGGTGTGAGAGCTAAAGAGCTGTGGTACCTACCTCTGGAGTGAGGGCTGATGCAGACAGCATCTGACTGACGAGCTGTAGTCGGGCTGGCAAAGTCTTGGCCTTGTTCATAGACAACATGAGCTTGCGCATCTTGCGGCTGTGTCTTATGGGTACGTCGGACATAAACTCCACCCCGCCAGCCACGACGGAGTCACAACCACCGGATGCGATCATCCCGATGCCGGTAGTGATGGCCTGGTTGGAGGAGATGCAGGCCTGGGTGACGGTGTGGGAGGGGATCCTGTTGGAGAAGCCGGCACCCAGAGCTGCCTGCAGAAACACAAGACAACATCAAAATTCAGCCTCAAGTTGGCAACAAATGTCAGTAAACATTCCCAAAATGGAACTGAAAACTTCCCAACTCATTATTTATGAAATATTATGGCTTTGTAGAGGTGTCTTGTATTTCACTGTGAAGGGACAAGTGAGGTAAAGTCTTTTGTGCTTAGTTTTACATTACTGCAAATCTCCCCCATTTGCCTCGCAAGGGCCCTTAGTCTGGACTTCTACACACATCCCTGGCCTTGGTGTGTGCATCCCACTGCAATCCAACAAGGGATATCAAAACCCTACAGTCCTCAATCTGTACAAAACATGTTGTATTAATATATGAAAGAAGTGCATCTTGATACTGTCGGGCAGGATGCAACATTTACGCACAGAAACTGACAGGGGTGGACATCGTGAGTACAACTGTAGTTCATTAGGACATTGTGAGTTCAACTGTAGTTCATTAGGACATCGTGAGTACATCTGTAGTTCATTAGGACATCGTGAGTACAACTGTAGTTCATTAGGACATTGTGAGTTCAACTGTAGTTCATTAGGACATTGTGTGTTCAACTGTAGTTCATTAGGACATCATGAGTTCAACTGTAGTTCATTAGGACATCGTTAGTACAACTGTAGTTCACTAGGACATCGTGATTTCAACTGTAGTTCATTAGGACATCATGATTTCAACTTTTGTTCATTAGGACATCGTGAGTTCAACTGTAGTTCATTAGGACATCGTGAGTACAACTGTAGTTCATTAGGACATTGTAAGTTCAACTGTAGTTCATTAGGACATTGTGAGTTCAACTGTAGTTCATTAGGACATCGTGAGTACAACTGTAGTTCAAAAGATCATCATGAGTTCAACTGTAATTCATTAGGACATCGTGAGTACAACTGTAGTTCAAAAGATCATCATGAGTTCAACTGTAGTTCATTAGGACATTGTGAGTTCAACTGTAGTTCATTACAACATCATGAGTTCAACTGTAGTTCATGAGGCCATTGTGAGTTCAAATGTAGTTCATTAGGACATTGTGTGTTCAACTGTAGTTCATTAGGACATCATGATTTCAACTTTTGTTCATTAGGACATCGTGAGTTCAACTGTAGTTCATTAGGACATCGTGAGTACAACTGTAGTTCATTAGGACATTGTGAGTACAACTGTAGTTCATTAGGACATCATGAATTCAACTGTAGTTCATTAGGACATTCTGAGTTCAACTGTAGTTCATTAGGACTGTGGTCTACAAAACATGACTTGATGTTTGGAGAAAACAATGAGAACTCTAGATTTTCACAAGTTTCAGTCGAGTGGTCAATGATAGCACAAGTCTTATGCTTGTAAAGATAAAGATCTGACAGCACCTTCACTTTCCTTCTCCAAATAGAGAACGAGATATACCTAACCAGAAGTGCCCATAATCCAACTAAAACAATACCCACCTCACGTGCAATATTACTGGTCTTCACCTCTTGGATCACAGTTCCATAGACAATATAGTCAACCATATCTGTAGACAAACATTCAATGAACAGTGTAGTCAACCATATCTGTAGACAAACATTCAATGAACAGTGTAGTCAACCATATCTGTGGACAGACATTCAATGAACAGTGTAGTCAACCATATCTGTAGACAAACATTCAATGGACAGTGTAGTCAACCATATCTGTGGACAGACATTCAATGAACAGTGTAGTCAAGCATTTCTGTAGACAAACATTCAAAGGACAGTGTAGTCAACCATATCTGTGGACAGACATTCAATGAACAGTGTAGTCAACCATATCTGTAGACAAACATTCAATGAACAGTGTAGTCAACCATATCTGTGGACAAACATTCAATGGACAGTGTAGTCAACCATATCTGTAGACAAATATTCAATGGACAGTGCAGTCAACCATATCTGTGGACAAACATTCAATGGACAGTGCAGTCAATCATATCTGTGGACAAACATTCAATGGACAGTGTAGTCAACCATATCTGTGGACAAACATTCAATGAACAGTGTAGTCAACCATATCTGTGGACAAACATTCAATGGACAGTGTAGTCAACCATATCTGTGGACAAACATTCAATGGACAGTGTAGTCAACCACATCTGTAGACAAACATTCAATGAACAGTGTAGTCAACCATATCTGTAGACAAACATTCAATGGACAGTGTAGTCAACCATATCTGTAGACAAACATTCAATGAACAGTGTAGTCAACCATATCTGTGGACAAACATTCAATGAACAGTGTAGTCAACCATATCTGTAGACAAACATTCAATGGACAGTGTAGTCAACCATATCTGTAGACAAATATTCAATGGACAGTGCTGTCAACCATATCTGTGGACAAACATTCAATGGACAGTGCAGTCAATCATATCTGTGGACAAACATTCAATGGACAGTGTAGTCAACCATATCTGTGGACAAACATTCAATGAACAGTGTAGTCAACCATATCTGTGGACAAACATTCAATGGACAGTGCAGTCAACCATATCTGTGGACAAACATTCAATGGACAGTGTAGTCAACCATATCTGTAGACAAACATTCAATGAACAGTGTAGTCAACCATATCTGTAGACAAACATTCAATGGACAGTGTAGTCAACCATATCTGTAGACAAACATTCAATGGACAGTGTAGTCAACCATATCTGTGGACAAACATTCAATGAACAGTGTAGTCAACCATATCTGTAGACAAACATTCAATGGACAGTGTAGTCAACCATATCTGTAGACAAACATTCAATGGACAGTGCAGTCAACCATATCTGTGGACAAACATTCAATGGACAGTGCAGTCAATCATATCTGTGGACAAACATTCAATGGACAGTGTAGTCAACCATATCTGTGGACAAACATTCAATGAACAGTGTAGTCAACCATATCTGTGGACAAACATTCAATGGACAGTGCAGTCAACCATATCTGTGGACAAACATTCAATGGACAGTGTAGTCAACCATATCTGTAGACAAACATTCAATGAACAGTGTAGTCAACCATATCTGTAGACAAACATTCAATGGACAGTGTAGTCAACCATATCTGTAGACAAACATTCAATGGACAGTGTAGTCAACCATATCTGTGGACAAACATTCAATGGACAGTGCTGTCAACCATATCTGTGGACAAACATTCAATGGACAGTGCTGTCAACCATATCTGTAGACAAACATTCAATGGACAGTGCAGTCAACCACATGTGCACAAACATTCAATGGACAGTGTAGTCAACCATATATGTGGACAAATATTCAATGGACAGTGTAGTCAACCATATCTGTAGACAAACATTCAATGGACAGTGTAGTCAACCATATCTGTGGACAGACATTCAATGGACAGTGCTGTCAACCATATCTGTGGACAAACATTCAATGGACAGTGCTGTCAACCATATCTGTGGACAAACATTCAATGGACAGTGCTGTCAACCATATCTGTGGACAAACATTCAATGGACAGTGCTGTCAACCATATCTGTGGACAAACATTCAATGGACAGTGTAGTCAACCATATCTGTGGACAAATATTCAATGGACAGTGTAGTCAACCATATCTGTGGACAAACATTCAATGGACAGTGTAGTCAACCATATCTGTGGACAAACATTCAATGGACAGTGCAGTCAACCATATCCGTGGACAAACATTCAATGAACAGTGTAGTCAACCATATCTGTAGACAAACATTCAATGGACAGTGTAGTCAACCATATCTGTAGACAAACATTCAATGGACAGTGTAGTCAACCATATCTGTGGACAAACATTCAATGGACAGTGCTGTCAACCATATCTGTGGACAAACATTCAATGGACAGTGCTGTCAACCATATCTGTAGACAAACATTCAATGGACAGTGCAGTCAACCACATGTGCACAAACATTCAATGGACAGTGTAGTCAACCATATATGTGGACAAATATTCAATGGACAGTGTAGTCAACCATATCTGTAGACAAACATTCAATGGACAGTGTAGTCAACCATATCTGTGGACAGACATTCAATGGACAGTGCTGTCAACCATATCTGTGGACAAACATTCAATGGACAGTGCTGTCAACCATATCTGTGGACAGACATTCAATGGACAGTGCTGTCAACCATATCTGTGGACAAACATTCAATGGACAGTGCTGTCAACCATATCTGTGGACAAACATTCAATGGACAGTGTAGTCAACCATATCTGTGGACAAATATTCAATGGACAGTGTAGTCAACCATATCTGTGGACAAACATTCAATGGACAGTGTAGTCAACCATATCTGTGGACAAACATTCAATGGACAGTGCAGTCAACCATATCCGTGGACAAACATTCAATGGACAGTGTAGTCAACCATATCTGTAGACAAACATTCAATAGCTGTCAGTTTATGACAGTCAAAGGACAACACAATGTCAACTTGTTTGCATATTTAGGTACTCCAAAAATCAAAGTTGAGTGTCATTCAGTCTCTGACAAGAGAAACATGTACAGTTCAACATTTTCAAAATGTTCAAAGATTTTAATATAGCTTCAGTGTCTTTAACAGAACATGTTCCTATCTACAGCCTCCACTGTTATGGTATGACACACAATCAGTCAGGTCAACTATAAACAACCTCTACTGTTGTGATACGACACACAACTAGTCAGGTCAACTATCAACAGCCTCCACTGTTATGGTATGACACACAACCAGTCAGGTCAACTATCAACAACCTCCACTATAATGGTATGACACACAACCAGTCAGGTCAACTATTAACAGCCTCCACTGTTGTGGTATGACACACAACCGGTCAGGTCAACTATCAACAACCTCCACTGTTATGGTATGACACACAACCAGTCAGGTCAACTATCAACAACCTCCACTGTAATGGTATGACACACAACCAGTCAGGTCAACTATCAACAATCTCCACTATAATGGTATGACACACAACCAGTCAGGTCAACTATTAACAGCCTCCACTGTTGTGGTATGACACACAACCGGTCAGGTCAACTATCAACAACCTCCACTGTTATGGTATGACACACAACCAGTCAGGTCAACTATCAACAACCTCCACTGTTATGGTATGACACACAACCAGTCATGTCAACATATTAACAGCCTCCACTATTGTGGTATGACACACAATCAGACAGGTCAACTGTCAACAGCCTCCACTGTAATGGTATGACACACAACCAGTCAGGTCAACTATTAACAGCCTCCACTGTTGTGGTATGACACACAACCGGTCAGGTCAACTATCAACAACCGCCACTGTTATGGTATGACACACAACCAGTCAGGTCAACTATCAACAACCTCCACTGTTATGGTATGACACACAACCAGTCATGTCAACATATTAACAGCCTCCACTATTGTGGTATGACACACAATCAGACAGGTCAACTGTCAACAGCCTCCACTGTAATGGTATGACACACAACCAGTCAGGTCAACTATTAACAGCCTCCACTATTGTGGTATGACACACAATCAGACAGGTCAACTGTCAACAGCCTCCACTGTAATGGTATGACACACAACCAGTCAGGTCAACTATTAACAGCCTCCACTATTGTGGTATGACACACAATCAGACAGGTCAACTATCAACAACCTCCACTGTTATGGTATGACACACAACCAGTCATGTCAACATATTAACAGCCTCCACTATTGTGGTATGACACACAATCAGACAGGTCAACTGTCAACAGCCTCCACTGTAATGGTATGACACATGATCAGACAGGTCAACTATTAACAGCCTCCACTGTTGTGGTATGACACACAATCAGACAGGTCAACTATTAACAGCCTCCACTGTTGTGGTATGACACACAATCAGACAGGTCAACTATTAACAGCCTCCACTGTTGTGGTATGACACACAATCAGACAGGTCAACTGTTAACAGCCTCCACTGTTGTGGTATGACACACAATCAGACAGGTCAACTGTTAACAGCCTCCACTGTTGTGGTATGACACACAATCAGACAGGTCAACTATTAACAGCCTCCACTGTTGTGGTATGACACCTAACCAGTCAGGTCAACTGTTTACCTCCACTGTTATGGTATGACACACAATCAGCCTGGTCGTACATTGTTACCACTCTGTCTGTATTTGAATGAATGTTTACATCAAACAAGGAGTCATGGGGAACCTATTCCACACAGGACTCTCTGCAGGGATATGCAATTTCAATTCAACATCACAAGAAGTGATATGATTTCATTTAAAAATCTTACAAATTAGCAACGATACTGCCCTTTTAAGATTAGTCAATAAATTTATTTACCAAATGTCAAAGTGATAAAAATATTGACTCATCATACCATTGCTGATGCCTGTCTTCCTCAGCAAACCCCTGAAAAAAGTAATAGAACTTCAGACACACTTGACAAAACATTTAATAATTGTTTTACACAACAGTAATCAAGAACATTCGTACAAACAAACAATCGTACAAAGATATATATTAATATGATATCAAACTTTAGTGGGTGTTAAGTAAAAAACTCATATTCAGTGATGTATCACTGTTGAAAGTGAATACTGGTACTTGCCACACTGGAATGTTTAATAGTTCTACACAAAGTCAGTGCTGCATGGACTGAAAAGTTTTACACAGTCAGTGCATAATGAAGAAAATATATTGCTGATTTCATCCTTTGGAAATTGATGAGAATATTAGGTACTGACTGGAGTGCTGTGCGAGCGAGGTCGTGTGGCATAAGGTTCTTGTAGGATGTCCCCGACATGAGAAACGGAGTCCTCACCCCCTCCACCAGCACGATGTTTCGGACCCCTGGTTTGGCCAGTGTCTTCTTGCTGACACCTGAAACATGCAAACAGCTGAGTCAGCCATACGGCTGTGAGTGAGTGAGTGAGTGAGTGAGTGAGTGAGTGAGTGAGTGAGTGAGTGAGTGAGTGAGTGAGTGAGTGAGTGAGTGAGTGAGTGAGTGAGTGAGTGAGTATGGTTTTACACCGCTTTATTCCAGCAATATCACAGCGGGGTACACCAGAAATGGGCTTTACACATTGTACCCATGTCAGGATTCGAAAGTGGGTCCTCGGCATGACGGGCAAACGCTTTAACCACTAGGCTACCTGACCGCCCCGCAATACAGCTGAGAGTGCAAAGTAGGAAAACAAAGTGTTAGAAACAGGGTTAGAAACTAACAGTTTTCGTCCACTAGTCCTTATAATGATAACATAAAGCAAACCCTTAAAGGGGAAGTGTACACGCAAAAATCACTTTCTTTCTTTTTCTAAACAAAACGCAATTTTAGAATTAGTTAGTATCTGTGTTTGAAAATATACACTCATTTTTTTCACAGTGAAAGTAGGAAGCTCACAATAGTGTGAAAATGATATGCCGTTATGAGGCCTTCGTTTTTCGAGCTAAACAGGCCTGAGTTATCCCCCTTAGATTATGACGTAATTGGTGCCAATTCAACTGGGTCCCTGTCTATTCTCAACGCAAAAGATATCCAGTACCAGTTTGCGGTAAAACAACATGGCCTACGACACACTCCGGCGCAGTGGTGACTCAGCATAACACTATGCTGGCTGGCATCTGAGACGCTAGAATCACACACCTAGACCTACACCACGTGAAGCGGCTCTAACAAAGCATGATGACGTCATAATGTTTATCAATTGGCACCAATGACGTCATATTGCAAGGGGCATAAGCCATGGTGTTTTGTTGTGGAAATAGAACACTTGGTAAATGTGAAAAATATTAATCGTATTAATGCGAAAAATATGTTAATTAATTGTGATATTTTTATATTTTTGTCTATGACACTTCTAGGTTAACACTTTTAATGTGGAAAAAGTACAAGAAAAATAGGTTAATTTCCGTGTGAACTTGCCCTTTAACAATGGCAAATTTCTAGTAGTCCTTATGATACCATTACCATTGAGCAGTTTGGCAAGGACTACAGGACTACAGGACTAGTGCCAATTTCAAACGCTGAATAATCCACATCGAAAGTCACGTCACAAAGGAGAGATGTGGAGGGGGTGGGAATGGGGGCGAGTGGGGGGATCACATCAATTTAATTACATTGAATATTCAGCAGCCATTGTGACCAACATCCTTGAAAGGAGCTCTTAGTGCTCGCTTCCGCTAACCAAAGCTCCGAGGACATCCCATCTCAGAGTTGATATTAATGAGATTGTCCTTGTGACTTGTGTCTAACGTCAATGCATTAGAGTTCAAGTGGACCTGTTCTCTCCTAACAGCACCACTGGCACTGGGCACTGGGAGAGTGTACTGACAATTTTAGAAATTGTATTTTTTAAGACTAGTCCAGATGACTGGTGGACAGTAGTGTCTGTTGCAATATCGAGTAATGACTGCTCCCTATATATCACAATAATCCAGTACAATAACTGATCCCTGTACATCCCGGCTTTTAAGATAATGGCCTCCGAGAGTAAAGTGTCAAGTCAGACGTGCTTCTTGTTGTCTCTATAATTAGTGTTTGGATAACACGGGACATTGAAACAGTGTCAACAGCAGTGGGATATTCTCTGTCCACTCAGGCTCCAACCTCTCTCAAATAGGCTCTAAATTTCTAATCCTCTCATTTCAATGCCAACACCTACCTGCTTTTGCAGTGGCATATTGTGATGTTGATGTTCCAAGACAACGAACAGCACCTGAGACGAGAAAAGGGTAAGTCACATTGCTTAGAGCTTAGATAATAAAATACATGTACAACATAAAATAAAATATTCATGACACACCAAACTCTATGTCATAGCAATCTACTGACCCCCCCCTCTCTCCCAATATGATGAATTTATCCCAAATAGTATAGATAAAGGCTTACATCTTATTGAGTTTATCTTCACAAATCAAACCATTCGATTTCTTGCATAAGAATTACCTTTGTATATGGTCAGGAGAAATTGGAAGTAACTCAAAATAATACTTTGAAAACAGATACCGAAAGTAAACTTTCTTCTGTCATGTCTGTTGATCACCAAACATGAAACAGACGCCTTGTAATTCACCTTTGAACATTTGACTAAAATTACGCATTTGTCATGGACACATACTCGTGTGCGTTCTTTAACTTGTCCTAAAAGTATCTTTGTAAAAAAATGACAAAGCACCATTTGAAAAACCTACAAGAACTGCCACAAGACTTCGTCAAAGAAAACGCTTTCTGCATTGCTGCCGCCATGCTGGAACCGTGGACTTTGTACGGTCACGTGACCTTGTGTTTATAGACCATCATACTCGTTTGATCAATGAAAACGAACATTTTGAGTAGATTCTATGTATCGGTATTTGAATTAAGGTAGCGCATGATAAAGATCAGATCATGACAAGTGCAAATAATACTTTAATTGCGAAAAACCGAAACGTGACTTTGCGTTGATAGACGAGGAAATACGGGAGTACAAAGTTCAGCCGGCTTCTTTGGAAAATGGCCGGCATGAGAGTTGTTGGTGCAGGGAGGCAGCTAATCCGTGCTGGAGGCCTAGCGTTTCGGGGTAACTGTTCTCTTACAACACAAACAGACGTATTAACTCTTTATCTCTGAGATGCTGTGCGTATTTTGTCATTTTGTAGAACAACCACTCCAATTTCCAACCTCGTTGACTTTGCATTGTTGCAGACGATGCTTTTGAGTCAACCCTGGCAGGTCTTGGGTGACTTGTTTTACAGTCGTAACTAGTCTAGTTTATGCCTATTGTGTTTGTCGTCACTTTATTTCATTTACCTAAAAAAAGTGACACATTTATTTTGAAGTCGCACTTTCACTTCATGATAAAGGTAGGTCGGGGGCAAGGTGAACGTCTGACAGGTGAGCATGTGGACTTTGAACTATGGAGGAGGTTTTGTCAGTGAGGAGTCAAAAGGTGAAGAAGGCGATTTGGCAACATCACATATAAATGTTGTAACCATTAATATGTGCATATGTATCCCCAAAACATAATGACACAGGCTAGGGTGTGTGCACAGGCCCCTGAAGCAGGATAGTGATATAACTGAAACCCTATATATGGGTCCAGTGTTTCAGTTATATCACTGAAGACAGTTTAATGGATTAAAAGGCAGATGACATTATTGTATTTTTTAAATGTTATGGGCTTACACAGTTTTGGGTCAATACCCAAAATGTCAGTCAATACCTGGTGTGACCACCATTAGCATTGATACTGCCACACATCTCCTGTACATTGAGTGGATCAGACGATTTGTGAAGGCCCTAGGGATCCTCCTGCACACATCCAGAGCAACTGTGCGTAGTTCATCGGCAGTTGTAGGGACTGGGCGCACATTGTGCAGACGCCTTTGAATCTCATCCCACAAGTGTTCGATGGGGTTCAGATCAGGGCTGAGGGCTGGCCACGGTAGAACACGGATGTTGTGTTGTTGCAGAAAGGCCATGGTAGCTCTGGCAACATGGGGACGAGCGTTGTCCTGCTGGAAAATGTGCTGTTGATGTTGCGCAAAAAATGGAACAACGTGGGATCTGACCACTTGGTCGATATACCGCTGAGCAGTGACACCGTGTCCCCGACCTTGACCAACATTCAGAAAGCGCATGGGTCCAAGTCTCGATTAAGTCCAGTCCCTGCCCATATCATGACGCTAGGTCCACCCCATGGATCCTTTTCCACAACGTTTCTGTCAGCGAAACGATCACCTCAACGCCGCCAAATTATGACTCTTTCATCTGCATGGGAGACACAAAAGCGACTTTCATCAGAGAAGATGACACGCCTCCACTCACGATGACGCCAATTGCGATGACCCTTTGCCCACTGAAGTCGTGCTTGTCGATGCCGTGGTTGGAGAACAGGACGACGTGCTGGTCGGTGACATCTGAGGTTGTTGGAACGGAGACGTCCGATCACAGTGTCCCGGCTAATGTGTCGATTATGTATTCCTGTGGTCTGTCGAGCACTTTCACTTGCAGTTAGGAACGGATGTCGCTGGTGTTGACGGGTAATCTGCTGATCTTGTCGAGGTGTTGTGACCCTAGGACGACCGCTCTGAGGAAGGTCATCTGTGGTCTGTGTTGCATTGTACCGATGCAGGAGATGATAAATTGTGGTTATGTGAACGTTGAAATGACGGGCAACATCTTGGACAGACTCTCGAGCTTCCAAACGTCCGATAGCCTGGTTTCTCTGTATTTGTGTTAGGCGTGGCATTGTTGACCAAGGAGTGGTAGGTCCAAGAATCAGCCACAGTTTTATACCCACTACAGTTTGTGACAGTTCGTGCATTTTCGATTTCGCGAGAAATGGGTGCATGATACCAACATTCATTGAAATGGTGCGTTTTGGCGATTCGTTATTTTATGTTGCGTTTATGCAACCAAAAATATTGATAACACCATCAGGCTTTCACTACATGCTAAAACTCGTATCAATTTATGGTTCCGTGTTTGTTACCTATTTGCTTAAAACCACTTGCGTTTCTTTTGCTTGTGAGTATATATACCTGGTGAATCCCACTGGGGTGTATTTGGGTGGTCACAATCCCTCGTAAACAAGATAAATCCCTCTTGATAACCTGTTCATGATATAAAATACATCATGAAGACCTGTTTATTTACACATATGAACATTGCATGTAAACTATTATCAAATTATTAATACACAATACAAGTTACTGAATAAACAAATGTCCTAGATTAACACACACACATAGTGAAAAGAAATTTATCTAGTACATGTATACATGCACTCACCATGCACACACTAATACTAGTAAATGTGACATGTTTAAATATAATTAAGGATCTATATAAACATTTATTAAACTAAAGTGATTTGCATAATTATACTGGCATAAAATACAATAAAAACTCTAAAGGGGCACTGATGTAAAGCAATTCCCTGGGACTGGTTCTTGCCTTTGTTATTGTTTTTTCCCGTGCGTACCCGGGTGATACAGTAGAAATCTAGACTAAAGTACTCACGGAAATGAAAAAAAACTTTTTTTGATCTCAGATTTTAAATAAATGCAGTTAATATACAAAATTGTTATTGTTTTTTCCCGTGAGTACCCGGGTGATACAGTAGAAATCTAGACTAAAGTACTCACGGAAATGAAAAAAAACTTTTTTTGATCTCAGATTTTAAATAAATGCAGTTAATATACAAAATATATAAATATTCAAACAACTCAATTAATACTAATTGGGCCTTGGCACAAATACAGCATATCAAAGGTTTTTATGTCTTTTTACACGTAAAAGTGTGTAAAAATATGAACAAAACAGACTATTGTGAAACTGAGCATAACCAGATGTTAGTAGATCAAGGTGAATGTCCATGACATATGACACCTTGACGACAGGTGAAAACAGGTGCTTGAAACCCACGTGCATGTGATTTGTCAGTGGTTAGTGATTTGTCAGTGGCATTGTGGGATAGTGAATCATCGTCAAAATATCAGAACGTAAAAGTAACATATTCCCTTCTCAAACAACAACTTACATGTCATTTTTATTATGTACATAAACATAGCTGTTATTTGTATTGTTGTTTTGATAACTTTTTTCCAGGCTTATTTGCATAATGGCTATAGCCTGTTTCTGCCATGTCAATTTGGACTTAGTTTTATTTTTGAATGTTGAAAGTGCCTACAAATTACCTCCTGTAAAGTACATTTTGTATTGAGCACTGAGATAAAACTAGCAAATCCAGACTAGTACTTTTCCAGTTGTTTTGCTATTTCGTATTTACATGTACGTAATGCTTTGTGTCGATTTTTAAATCCAGCAAAACAGTGTTTTTTTCATTTCCGTGAGTACTTTTAGTTGGCGACCTGTGCTGCGCAATTCGTAAGCGCATTTGTCACTTTTATTGATAGTATAACGGCGTAAAGTCACATTGATCAATAAAATGAAATACAGTTTTGGAAATAATAAGGAAATGTAGGTTTCTTTGTGGGTAGCATAGGTAATGGTGACAAAGTTTTGATAAGTCACTTGCTTGGTAATTGTGCGATTTTCGTTTACACTATTTTGACTTGCAACACAAAGTAAATATTTCTCCTGAGTATTGCTTTTTTTATCGTGTTTGTAAAAATAGTCAAAATGTGCAAAATTTTCACTTAGGAAATTTATTAAACGCCTAAATATTCAGTTATTTTACAAATTGACTGAAAAATATGTCCATCTGTATTATGAAAAAAAGACTTTCCAAAGATTTTTAAGTTTAATATCATCACCAAGAGACTGTAAATGTTACGATGAAAAGTACATTTCTATATTGTTTGGCTTCTAATCCAACCTACATTATAATCTATTGTGATGTTTTTAGGCCCTTTTGATCGTCTTAATCAATTTTAGTCAATCTGTTAAAGAAAAGGACAGATTTTTCAGTCAAAATGACTAAAATATTTACACATTTTTATAAATTGCCTGAGAGAATCACATTTTGCAAATTGACTGTAATAAATACACGCTTACAAAAAAAAAGACTTGTGAAAACAACGTCTATCGCGCATCGAAGAATTTCCCAACCAAGACGTAGAGGAACAAGAATGAATTTGTTCAATGCTACAGCAAATGAAGGAAAACAAAAGGCAAATATCATAATTATAACCTACCAAATTTATGTGTATAATTTTAGGCAGCGTCCTTGTTTAAGGAATGTATCTGTGAATATCCACACAAAGGAACAATATCCCACACGTCTGCAGCTGTACAATGAAACTTATTCGATGTCACGTGTCTCTGTAACAATCAAATAGTTTAAAATATATATATATATCGGTTCGGGATATTATAACCCGTGTTCGGTCCTCAACTGATCACTTTGATTGTTTCAGGTGTTTCACACAGGTGTCAAGTCTCAAAGGTCGGCTAAGAACGCCCACGTGACAACTATTTTCCTAAAAAATCCATTGAGTTAGATAACAATGAGCAATCAATGTATTATCAGTTAACCCTTTAAACAAATTATGTTGTTTTTACATCGGCACTTCACGCCATGATATGAGTGTATGCCCTTGTTTTAGTAAACCTAGACATGCAAACACTCATCACTCACTTTTGACATATCCACTGTGCAAGATAACAGTGATTGATCAATCAACATATTTTCTGTTAATCCTTTGATGACAAGGAACGATCCGTTGATTCACAAAAAAGTAAATCAACTGACCATTCATCTCTTGCTGGGCTGCCACGTGCATATTATATAACACACATTTCACCTCACTTCAAACCTGTATTTACTATTTAGAATGAATAATTACCCCAGACACAATAAATGCCAAATGGGAACCTTTGTCAGGTAATCTGAGTGGTGCTACCACTAATTATACCTGTAATAAATTCATTATCTGAGCATCAAGTGAATGACGACAAATACACAAGTGTAGGGTTAAACTAGAAAACGTGGATGACAACAAGGGAGTAGTAATCGTATTATCGACGCAATCCAAAATCCGAAAATGCTTTCACTGCATGGATGCTTTTGTTATGATTAAACTATAACCAACTGGGGTATTTCCAAATGACGACATCCGATGAGCTCCGCCGTTCTTTTTGTCTGTTTGTTTAAGCTGAAAACATGTGCCCTTTTTCGAAATCTTTATAGATCCCGGTTAACCAATCAGTGATCCAAAATGCGTAAAACAAATATTGCCTCCAAGTTTATTTAGCTGTCCTTGCGGACGGTCGCCCTGTCTCTTGTCACACGCAGTTGCGGTGCGTATCGTCCGGGTTCTCACGGGGAAAAAACAATAACAAAGGCAACAACCAGTCCAGGGGAATTGCTTTAGATCAGTGCCCGTTCAACTACTAACCTTTATATAAGTATTATCCTTTCTCTCAGTCCAGTGCACAGTGAAGTGTTAATGCAAAGAGCAGGGTGAAAACAAAGGGTTTTGAAAGTGGGACGCAGAGATTTAAAACTAGCCAATCCAGAGGATGCCTGGGCTTTCACTCTGATTGACCACCAAGAAGTTGACTGACCCACTAAATAAAACATGACATTAGAATAGGGCTTTAATGATGATACTTGACTTAAAACTACTTAAGTATGCAGCCTGAAATGAGAAATACAATAAATAATTCTTAATTACTGCAATATCTGAAATATACAAAATACCATTATTGACAACATACATAAGTAAATTAAAACCTAATTAATAAAACATCAATATATACAGAACTAGTATCTACTACATAAACATGATTGAATACAAGCTTGAAAAGATTAATATACTTATTTCTTTATCTGACACTAATGACATACAATCTGTTCAGACCTGCTAGATCCTAAGTGGAAAAGTAACATTTATACACCTGAGGACAAATATGGTAGCCCTATCCTTATTATTGACCATCATACAGTCAGTATGAATCTATGAAGTTTACCTTTAGCGCTGCAAACAAATTGCTTTCTGCTGTAACCATGGTAACATGTTGAAAGAAAACAAATATAAGCGATATCTTATATTACATAATCATTTAGACATCCTTGTAGCTGTGATTGATATATTGTGGCATCTTTGAAGTATTTTTAATCATTAAAATTATTAAGTTAACAGATGACCACATTAGTGACAATGATGCACTCAAAATCAATCAAGCCCTATTTCATATCATGGTAAGGAGCAACATCCAAATATGTCTTGAGTAGTTTCCATCAATCTACATATGACAGTTTGATATTATGTTATGTACAGAGTTTATTGCCCCTTAACTTGAAACCTGATTTTGTAACGTGAATGGTGAAACCAATATACAAATTAAAGGATGCTATTCTGGTCTATTGAGCCAGGGCTACTGCCTGTTTGCATCCCTGCCCTTGTGACCATGTTAAGAGTGTCCTGTTCTGTCTCCCCTGTTTCCCAACTCTTGACATATTTGGAGAGATGTAGGGGTATCCTATAAGGTGTAAGGGATTAATGGAATCCTCCAAGACCACGTGACAGCTGTACCAATTACATTGCCTTGTTCGGTGCTGTTCAAGGCTTGAGTGGTATTCTGGCAGTTGGTGAGTAAAGAGGAAAATGTTTAACTTTATGGATAACAACTTCTGGTTTATTGCATTAGCAATGTTTTGATGAAGATGCTTATACTGTTGACTTGCTACTCATCGATGGCTGTACTAATCATGTAGATAATACTGTAACTACTGTTACAGATTGAGCATGTTGATTGCACTTTTTCTAGAGTCAAGTTCACTTTTCAGGAGACAAAGAATGCAGGCTGCTGTCCACTTCAGCTGCGATGTGTGGTAAGCCATTAGTGACTGAATATCAAAGAATAATGACAAAAAGATATTTGTAGTTGATTTGAGTTACACCAGACAAAATGTTGCATCCTATGTGCATCCAATTTGAAAGCCTGTTTTGAATGCAGTTTGGAATAGTGCCCCAGCATGTCATGTCGGTCATGAGAGTTGTAAGAGGTCACCAAATCAGTAGTCAGGCCCAGTGTCTTGGTTTATTGAGTGTCTTCGAACCCAGATGGTGTGGATTGTTCCTCACAATATCAATCACTAGATTGTCTGGTTGAGACTTGAATAATGCAGGCTACCCTTATACACCTGGAATACTGCTAAGGCTGAGTGACGTGTAAAAACAAACAAACAAATGTAGATTGAGAATGACCGCAGATGTTACATAGAAAGTTCATTGTGTTAGTAGTGGATTTTCTTCAATCTAACATTGAAGTCCCCCTCTCTTATAGGTGTAAGGCTGATGCAATGATATCAGTAAAGTTCTTGAAAATCAAGTTTAGGAATCAAATTAGGTTGCATCCCAAGGAGACCCCAGGATCAGTTATTACTTAACAAACCTTGTAAATTCCTTGGTTGATGTAGGAAGTTATCATCATCATCATCTGAAATAGCTGACACTGGTGAAAGAAAGAGCTTGCCTCTGTTTCATGCATGTATCAACAAACTTAATTTTATGTGAAGGTAAAAAATTGCTTGCCCTCAATTCTTTAGCTTGAAATATTTTACCCAACATATGCTGAGTAACTTATTTGAAATTCACAACATTGTATCTTTATTTGTTTTTTGTTTTAGCAAGGAACCACTTCAAAATTGATGTGAAGAGAGATGTGGCTGTTGTACGGATTGACAGTCCAAACTCCAAGGTAACCATGTACTGCGAGTGTTCACATTTAGTGTGTCACTTACTCAAACCTGTCAACCCCTCATCATGACAATGTGGGAGATTTGACTTCAAAATGGGGGAGATTTGCCTCCAAAGGGGGAGATTTTTAAGATAGTGAAGATAAGATAATGTCCAACTTTTATTTTTAATAATGTTACAAAGAAAACCAAATATTTTGAAACAATAAATAATCAATAAGTTTCTTATACGTACAGCTTGCTTAATTTCCGTTTGCATTTTCCACCTCCAAAAATAAACCCAGCACAATCTACCCATATAACTTTCGTTCAAAGATCATCTCAGATAAACGCAAACAGATATTGAAATTTCACAATCGGTAGCTTGACCAGTTGACGACGTGTTCAATCTGACCAGTTGTCAGGCTTCGTTACGATGCAGGTTTTCTGAGTATTTGTCGCGATGTTGGTTACAAAATTCGCCAAAGAAATATCAAATGCATTTATCCTGACGCAACATCATCGCCCTTAGTTTCAATAAGATATACTGGTTTTCTTCTGTCTGCGGTAGTCTGTTGACAGTCCCATTACTTCGCTTCTTAAATTTCCTAGAAATGTTCACGTTATTCCATTCCAAGAAATGTATGCCATATTTGGAAGTACTATTACGTTTTACTACAATTTATGAATGAAATGAGTCTCGTTGTCGTTGTTGACCTTTCTGACCTTGACGTGTATTAATCTCATTGGTTGACTAGTACTGTTGTATGCAAATTAGATTGCAGATCTGGGACGCAAGCAAACTATTAGCCAATCAAATCGTGTAAAATAATCACATGATACATTCTCGCAAAATTTGATAAAATTCTGTTTTGATATTTTCTGTGCACACACGTCACGATGTCAGTCAAAAGGAAATTTATAAGTTTCACTTTAAACTTTGACTTTGAAATCCTAGCTGTGAGGAAGCCTGATCGTGTACCTCATTGTTATTTCGACTACCGAATCAACCAATCACGCATAGTGTTGTTTCTGAAGACGGCGCTTGCAGGACATATTTTGTTTTCATTTCCAAGATTTCAATGACGTAACTTTGAGGTATGTTGATGTTTTAACAAAGTTTCTGACAAATCTGATAACCAATAAAGTCATGTATAACTAGACAGGCCATATGTATCTACGTTCTTAAATTATGGAAGAATAAACACGCTAAGAACATGAAGACAACAGTTCATTTCATGAAGTGATGAATACTTGGCTGATTTTTCATTTCAAGTTCAACCCTTCAGGCACCTGTTAGGACTATCCGAGTTTTCTTAACAGTTTACATTGTTCAATCGTTCACCATATGAATTAAATTACCATTTGATTACTGGACAAAGGCCCATCTGGGTCCCCCTGCGGGTGGCTGTGATAAGGGTCGCTAATCCGGGAGCCTACCGGACAGATCAGGACGTAAACTTCCCGTTCATTGTTTTCACTCACGGGACAATGAGGCGATTTTTTTTAAATAATGAAGAATTCTGTTTTGCGGGAGAAATAGTCCATCTTGCGGGAGACTGGGAGATTTCATCAAATTGCGGGAGTCTCCCGCAAAATGTGGGAGGGTTGACAGGTCTGCTTACTGAGGCTGCACATGCTGACAATGCATGAGTGTAGTAAAATTATTAAAATCCTATTGTTACTCATTTTCTCTCATTTTCTCCCTTAAAACAGTGTGAAAAATGGTTCTAATTTAATTTGAAATCCCTTTATCCTGCACTGAACGGATATGCATAAACATCAACTCGTTCTGGTGCCCTTTGATTGTGAAGTCACAGATGAATGGTCGGCCATTTTGTCAGTGAGCATTGTTCCTGGTCACAAGATAGAGTTTTCACTCTTATCCTTGTATATTTAGTTCATTGTCAAAAATGTTGCAAACACTGCAGGGTTAGAAATTGGCACTAGTCCTGTAGTCCTTGCCAAACTGCCCAATAGTTAAGGTATCATAAGTGTAGTAACGGGCAAGGCTCCGGTGAAGACAGCAAACACAGAACAGGCTACTGGTGTGTGAGATGACAGCTGACTTTATTTGCAACTAAGCTAGTTGTTTCTGAACTCTGCAAATATGTATAAAAATACAATGAAAATATCTAATAGATGAAATAAAACAAACATATCACATAGTATCAACACACCAATGCATAATCAGCTCATCCAATTTAATATGCTATGCATACTATAAACATTATTTATACTTGATATTTTACATTAATGTATCAAACATGCTGAGCAGTAGTTACACTTACCCTTGTGGTTTTAAGCCAAATTACATCTAAAAATACTTAAGACGGTTACATAAATACCGCCTCTACAAATTGCCATGATATAAACATAATAATAACACAATATACTCAAAATATACACATAACTTACCACTGTGTGGCAATGAGCTGGCAACTATGTTACCGTTGGCAGATCACAGATATTGTAACATCGATTGCCATATTCTAGAAAAATCTAAACAATAAGGCCGCATAAGAAAAAAGGAAATGGCCAATAAAATTAAGAATATGTAAAATGTCCTTTTCATATGTATCCATTCAATCATAATCTACATACATACATTACATACTGCATTCACACATGCAGTTAGATGGTATTTAAGTAATGATTAATAGTTAAATTTTTTACTTATCCTGCATTACTCCTTAATGCATTCATTGCTTACCTTGCGACAATAAAACTGGGACAGCTAACCGGCGATGGTCCTTGGGTGAATGGCTCTGTTCCGTAATCCCACTTTTACATCCCGCCGTCGCTGTCCCTGTGACCTCACGTGACCAAAGGTCAACTCTTCACATCACTGCCTGTCGCGACATAGCTAGGACGTTTCCAGCGGAGCTCTCGTTTTTTGGATTTATTTAGACCTTCCAATTCGTATACCATTCCAAAATTCTTCTGCGATGGTTGATGTATTCTTTTCATATTACTTTCAACATGTTGTGAAGTTGTATTTGATGTTTTGAGGCGGAAAAAAAGACGTGTCTCTTTTTTTCCCGCCACGTGCTATCTGTTCCCCGCCATGTTGAATTGTGTTACAATTGTTTGCTTGGCAAAGGTAGTCAATTGTTTACAATTATCGGCTAGGTATGTATGACATATTTCATATGTTGTTTTCAATACTACTAGCTTTGGCTGTTCATTGGGTTGCGTATATTCAGGCATTTATACACTTTCAACTCGTTCCAAAATTTGCCGAGAAATTATCTACGGCAGTAAATTCCAGTCCCGTTTTCTTCTAGTATATTATTGCGTAACTTATGCTTGCGTGTTGTACTAATTGTCGTGGAAAAAAATCTATTCAAGATCCTCACCCACGTTGTTTGTCGTGAACACAAATTTGTGCACCAAATTCTAAATGTGTTTTTTGTATAAACCTCTATCCAACGAGTTTCGCGAGGTATAGGCAAGTTACTCACAAACGTATTTTGCAGCAATCACGTCGTGAGAAAAGGAAAATGTCTCTATCGCTATCGCGAATGAGCGAGGGACAGGATTCGATCATTACGACGCAACCTTTATCTTTGAAGGATAATAGGTCGGCCGTTACTGTCACCGCGGAGGTGCACATGCCACCGGAATCTTCTCTCCCGGAGAATGTTGGGCGTATTATAATTGCACCTAATTTGCAGTCTTTGGAGAATTCTACATCTGTTACGTCTGCAGACAGTGCGCCAGCGTCTCAAGATGCGTTGTTGGGGGTAGCGCCAAGCCAAGCTAGACTCAAGTCTACTCCATTGAGCATTGCGTCTCATATGCCTGCGCCGAGCGCAGCCAAGCCCTACTACCCAAGCGCTTCTACAATGACATCAGCCTAAGGGCTATCAGCGTATGATATTACGCAAGCAGCGCACGATCAGCTTAGCGCTGTACCAACGTATCCAGCGCAGCAGATGCAAGCACAGGCGCCTATGCCAATTCCAAACACTAATTGGATGCAAAATGTTCTATAATCAATGTCAATTTAACTGTATCCTGCGCCTACGCCTACGCCTACGCCTATGCCTACGCCTATGTCTATGTATCAGACACCTGCATCAACTACATCTACGGCACATATTTTACCGCCTACTCCAGTGACTAATGTGTATAACACTCCTATTATGAGTCATAATACAGTACATTCTTCGTTGTGTAGTACCAGTACACCTGCTCGTACTTGGACATCAACTCATGATTCCTTGTCACCAGGCAGTTCATCTAAGCCCTCGGTCAGAGGTAATATTGCACATCGGAGTAGAAGTCGTTCACCATCAAGACGTACATCGTTTTGATTCATCAGATGGTTCTAATGGTGAGGAGGGAGATTCTGCGAACGAATGGAATACTCACCTTAGCCTGGCTCAAGTACCTGATTGGGTAGCTGACCGCCTCATTTCAGTACCTTCCCCGGGTAGTGGGGTAGATAAAAAAGATACTATTTGGACACATCCTACGTCGATTCCGATTGACCCTATGATGTCAGATATGATTAGATCTTTGGATGAGGACTTCTCCAGGCTCACACTTACGCTGTCATTCAGACCTCCCAGGTTTAGGAAAGATGAATTTCCTATTCATGGCTTTGAGGCAGCAAACCAGGCACATAGTTTGGATGAGGATATACAGAGAATGACAGGCTCGTCAAGGCCTACCACTCTTAAGGTTCAGGATACCAGAGTTGCGTTTATTGAAACAGAAATCCGAAGGGTATTCAAACCTTTATCAGCATTAGCATCGTCTACTCGGGTGGTAGAGCAGGATCTGTCAGAGGATAATCCTAACCGACTAGATCACCTCCAAACTATAGTTGATTTTCAACAGCGTCAGATTGACCATATGAGGAATCATCTTAAAGCTGCGTTGGCAGAAATAACTGTCACTCGGAGATTGGGTTATTTAGCCTTATCTACTTGGGACTCAGAGTTTAAACGCAGATTGCTACGTCAACCTTGGTCTTCCTCATCTCGGTTCAACGAACAGATTTCAGACACGCATG